CTTCATTTTGCTTAAAGGTGCATTGTGTAACTTTTCGGGTGGAGAGTCCGCTATCTGCTTGTCTCCATGGAGATGTTGTTTTTTGCTCTGGAACCAAACTGGGACATCTTGTATTTACTCAATAACATGGGTTTTTATCTGACTTAAAAACTTGCATTCTTACCGTGAGTGGGCCCGCCTCTCCACAGATTTGACATGTAACTTGGCCCTGTGTTGTCACCTGCAGTTTCCATAGAGATAAGTAAGTGTAATGCCATACTGCAACATTTCCATGGAGAGAAGCTGGTGATGGACCCTGCACCAGAAAAGTTACACAGTGTACCTTTAATACAAATGTATCTGAACATCTGGTTCACAGACTTTGTCAGTTAAAAAGGTTTAAACCAGAACTCTATCACTAATACAGCCTAGAGTTTATAAAGAAATCATGACTAAAAATATTATACAGAGATGGACCGGATCTGGCCCCTAGACCACTAATTGAAAAGTGCTGCCATACTTAAGTAAAAAAAACAGTTTTAGTGAGATATAAAACTTTCAGCACTTGTACTTAAAGGGCATAATATGGGTTTATTAGGCAATTTTCTAATCTATGTTATAATGTAGTTTCCTCATCAAAAACATACCTGGAGATATGTTTTATTTCATTCACACGTTCAACACACAAACCCTGCATATTTAGGCTGAGTTGTTCTCTCAAATTGAAAACATTGACATCACAAGTTGGAACAGAGCATTCTGAGTTTTGAAGATGCAAACGGACTAATAAACCGGGATTAATTAAACACGTGTGAATGAAACAAAACACAACTCTGGGTATGTTTTTGATGAAGTAACAGCATTAGAACATGGCTCAAAGCTCACAGGAGTCTATTGTATGTAATATAGGACCAATAAACCTGAATTTATGGTCCAGCTCTGAGCAGTATGCCTCATGTATGTTTTAGTGTTGACAAGAAATATATGGGAAGATTAACCTTATTTCACCCCTGGACCACCAACTGCCACCATTATGTACTGAAAAATCACAATTAAGTTCTTAGTGGTTTCATAAAGTTTTATTGTAAAAGAGCATTTGGGTTTGACAGAATTTCAGACCATTGCATATTGTAAACATTGTGTCTCAAACTTGTTTACCATAATCTTTGTTTTGTAAGTGTCCTGCTGCTGTCTTTGGCCCCATAGAAAAGCCATAGAAGGGCTTAAACAGCATCAGTAACACAGGGCTCACACTGAAGCCTCAGGCAGCGGGATATCTTAATACCATTCAGCCTCTAATTAACTAATTGAAAAAGAAAAAAAACTCTGTAAATCTCGAGGTCCATGAAGCTGATTAGAGCCTGTGTGTTAAAATGAGGCGTAAAATCAGGTGTACAGTGAGTGTGGCTGAGGCCTATATTTGTCAATGGGATCAATGCTCTCCTATTACCACGACGACCCAGCGCCCATAAAGACTGGATTTATTGTGGTGTCTTTTATGTCTGGGGCGGGATTTAAGAGGTTTAGGTTGTGAGCTGGGGCCCCATCAGGTCAATCACATGCTGCTATAAACCCAGGGAAGTAGTAGTACGTTATATTTATTGTGGTGTATTTACGTTTTTTAATAACTTTAAAATGAACATGGGTTCTGCTCATTTTAAAAGGTACAGTATGCATCTTTCTGAATGTGGCAGGTCATACTCCAGAACATTCTCCATGGAGATTTTTATGCCATACTGTGGAAGATGAGGCAAAGGAAAACATTTCCATGTAAACAAGCAAGAGTAGACTCTCCTCCAGGCCAAATAAAAGTCAGGTTTGTGGAGATGTAAGTTCGCTCACAGTAAGGATGCGTTTTAAAAAATGTTTTTCAGTGCAAATAACATAACTAAAATTGATCTTTTGTCAAAAAATTACGTAATCTGTGATAAATATTCAAATTGATTATACTTTTCATTTAAAGTACTACTCATGAATTATTTTTTTTTACTTGGCAAAACATCCAAACAAGTACTTTTTAGAATAACAGAAATACCATCATTATGAAGAATCACTGAAATGGTAGACAGATAAAATACTTTATGAATACTACTCATTACTTAGAGCGCTCAAACTTGGCTCCTTTACTCTCCTCTAGTTCTAAATGAGATGTAACCTACTTCCTGAATAGAGTGGGTGAAACATATAGACCAAGATGTAGTGGAAAGAAATGGACTTGTGGCCGTGTGTTTTTTTGTACTTGGTCCTTGCTCCGCAGCAGCTGTCGGTCGTCCCGTGGGGGGTTGCCACAGTGACAGGAGGCCTCATGTCTCAGGGGCGTCGCTCGCGGTCAAAAGAGCCCATTGTTCTGGTGTTAAGCCGTCTTCAGAGCACCCCGTCTGCCCAGGGAGAAGGAGGGAGAGGAGGGAGGGGGGAGGAGAGAAGGTGGAAGGAGAGAGGAGATGGAGGAGGGAGAAGAGAGAAAGGAGAGAGAGGAGGGAGGAGAGAAGGGAGAGAGGAGACGGGAGGGAGAGAGACGAAGAAGGGAAGAGAGAGAGAGAAAAGAGGAAAGAGAAGGGAGAGAGGAAGAAGTGAAGAGTGAGAGAAGAGAGAGAGGATGGAAGAGGGAGATGAGAGAAAAGAGGGGGAGGAAAGAAAAGGGAGAGAGAGGAAGAAGGGAAGAGAGAGAGAAGAGAGAGAGGAGGGAGGAAAAAGAAGGGAGAGATGAGAAACGAGGGAGGAGGGAAGGGAGAGAGGAGAGACAGGAGGGAGAGAGAGGAGGAAGGGGAGAGAAAAGAGAGGATGGAGAAGAGAGAAAAGCGAGAAAGGAAAGATGAAAGAGAAGGGAGAGAGAAGAATCGAAGAGAGAGAGAAGAGAGAGGATGGAAGAGGGAGAAGAGAGAAAAGAGGGAGAGGAAAGAAAAGGGAGAGAAAGAAGGGAAGAGAGAGAATGGAGAAGAGATGGAGAGGCGAGAGGAAAAAGGGAGAAATGAGAGACGAGGGAGGAGAGAAGGGAGAGAGAGAAAGAAGGGGAGAGAGGAAGAGAGAGGATGGAGGAGGGAGAAGAGGGAAAGGAAAGAGAAGAGAGAGAGGAAGAAGGGAAGAGAGAGGATGGAGGAGGGAGGAAAGAGAAGGGAGAGACGAGGAATAAGGGAGAGATATTAGAGAGAGAGGGGTAGAGAGAAGAGAGAGGGGAGGAAGGAGAGAGGGGGAGGGAGAGGAGAGATAAGACAGAAGGGAAAGAGGCGAGAGGGAGAGGGAGAGGAGGGAGAGGAGAGAGGCGAGAGGAGAGAAAGGAGAGAGAGAGGGGAAAGAAGAGAACCTTTTCTAATTCGACACCCTGGTCCACACAGAGTTTTTTGGGAGGAGAGGTGCTGGCGTTTTAGTTGGACATTCACACAATGAAAACTCCAATTCAAAAGACTCCCCTCTGGTTAAAAAGAGCAGAGGTGGAAGGAGGGAGCAGCATATGCACTCGAGTAGAAGCACTGTTAGGTCAAAATAATAGTCAGTGAGTGGTGATAAAATAGTATTCAATTAAAGGGGCACTGTGGAGATTTTCTGGTAGAGGTCTGACACCTGCTTGTCTCCTGGGTGATGTTATTGCTTTGCCTGGAATGTTCCACAGCATAGCATTTAAACAGATCTATCTCACATGTGATCCAGTGATAGGTTATTTTTTTTACATTTGTGAAACATTCCAGGCAAATAAACAAAAAGGAGGACCCTCATCCAGAAATGTTACATAGTACACCTTTAAATTTGAGTAGGTTTTCATTATTATACCAATTATGTTACAAAACTAATCACTTACACTCTAAAAACCTTTGATAATTTAGCGTGAAAAGTTGAAAAGTTTTATGGGGTGTGGAAAACGCTGCTGGCTACTGTAAAGGGTGGCAGTCGGTCATGGTTTAGATTACAAAGGGCTTCAGTTCTATTGTCGGCACATTGAAAATTGTTTTGTATTAAAATTGTAATAAAACAGCTTTAGATCCAAATAAGAGCACTACATCCTGATTACATTCATCTTCACTTTCAGAACATTTGCATTGGTACTGGATACATTTACCAACTTGTTTCCTGATTGGCAATATTAACCATAAAATAAACCAAGTCAAAACAATAGATCTACTTATGTTATACTACAGTTCAACTTTCTTCTTGAAATCTTGACATTTTTACATTATATGCTGGTTTTGTATGGTATTTAAAACACAAAAGTATGTCAAAAGATCATAGAATTTAAGATCATTTGTCTAGGTTATGACAAGCTTCACCAATTCAAAAAACAAATGCCTTCCTTCAAGATAAGACCGATTCCTGTAACTTCTTTCATCTTTTTTTGCTTCTGCAGAACTGATCACCTCGAGTCAAATTCAAACAGTTATCTCTCCCGTCCACCAGATGGCACAGCTGCTCCACTGTCTGCACCAGAAGCACATTAGACCAGCCACAGGACCTTGGCACATGCATTGAAGTCGGAAGCCTCTCCTGCGTCCTTCATCCAAGTGCCAGAGTTGATCTAAAAGCGTTCAGTCAATTACACCAATGATGAATAGATTACCGCCAAACATCAGTCTAGAGGGGCCCGGTTTTGCAATGTGAACAAAATCCAAAACTTAATTTGTCACCGCCACATTGAGATAGATTGAGGCATTAAAGACAAGTGCATTTAGGTGTGCACGCGATTGGTTTAATGCAAGGTCAGAGGTCAATTTACTCGGGAACATATCACAATAATAATTTATGTCATCATACTTATGGTTATGGCAAAGTGGCAGAGAGAGGATGTGAGAGGAGAGCTACTGTTCTCAATGGACTTATCGCACCAGTGGGACAATGCATTTGCGAGCAGTGGCTGTGTTTTATGACTTGGATCAGAGCCAGGCAAATTTATATAAATCATGACTTAAAACGAATGCCATTTCAGTGAATGATTGGTCTGCAACAGCAACAAAAGCAGTGAGTATCAAGAAGTCTCGCAAAGGCATTCTCAAGGTACCACAGTAACTTTCCAAAAAGGTCACTGAAAAACTAGCTTTCTACAAAACAATAAAAGTGTTTATTAAAATCACAGAAAATGCCATCAGATTTGTGTAAACAGAGGTTGTCCTTTAGATATTACCCAGGCATATTTACAAAAAATAAGAAAAGTTTAATTAAATTATGCTAGTAGTTCAATTCAAAAATACAGACTTGTAATGCAGTAAAGGTTAAGCACAGATATTAAATTATCAGACTGGGTGGTGTCGTTTTGTAACAAGGAACAGCATCTAGTAGAAAATCTATATTCAAAAATTGCAGCAATGCTTGAAGCTAGATGATTTGCTGTGTTAAACTTCACATTTTGCGTATATCTTTTATCACAATTTTCGTACAAAATCCAAATTTGAATTGAACTACTCAAATGATCCCGCTTTTCCACAATATTCCAGTTCAAACGCCGTGGTTACCACTAGCAGGAAAAGCAACCACAAATCAACCGGATGACTCAAGCCTATAATTTGATATCTCCCTTAATTATTTTTCCATTAAAGTCCAGTGACATCCAGGGCGCCCGGACAGCTGCAAAACGACCGATAGCATTTTCATCTCTGCATAAAGTGAAAATATTGACTCTTGAAGTGCTCAATGGAGTGACTTGGGAAGAGAGAGAGAGAGAGGGGCTGAAGATGCACTGTGATTACCAGCCTGAGCGGAGGCCTATTGATTTGGAGGTGGTCAGCAGAGATGATTGGACTGTATTGACCCACTTGGTTACTACCGGAGAGAGAAATTGGCTACAAATTACGGCGTGGCTTAAAATAATTCACAGGGAACAAAAGCGCCGATATTTTCTGTAATGTTCTTTGGAAAGACATTTCATTATAAGGACAGCAGTGTGGAGCTACACAAATTGCCATGTCTGTTTCGAATCTGCCAGTCAAAAAGGCCCATCCCGTGTGGTTAGTTTAAAGGTCCTATATTACACAAAATGGACTAAGGTGAGCTTTTAGCCATGTTGTGCTGTTACCTCTACAAAAACATATCTGGATTTGTGTTTTGTTTCATTCATGTTTGTGTAATCCTGCATTATTAGTCAGTCTACAGTTACTTTGTGTTGTCATGAAGTGGTAGATTTCAAGTTAACAGTTACCTTTTGCCTTATGGTTAGTAGACTGGCAATTCCAGAGCTAAAATCATCCAAATGATTTGAATGAGTAATATTGAATGGGAATTTGAAAAACACTTCCTGTATTACTGCATGACATTACAAGGTGGAACAGAGCCTAAATACGCAGGAATTGTGTGTTAAATGTGTGTGAATGAAACAAAACAGAACTCCAGGTATGTTTTTGATGAAGAAACAACATTAGAATATTGATAGGAAAAAAAACTCAATATGGACCCTTTAAATAATCTTTGTATTAGTTCTCATGCCTGGGTCACTTCGAAGGCTGGTGCGGGCAGGGCAGCGCTATGTCGCCGTCCTCTCGTCCTCCTTCGGGACTCCTTGGTGGATTCTGGTGAGATGCGGGGAACCCATGCCAGTCCTCCACTACTGATGTGATCGGCACTGCTCTGGTTTCTCAAACTGCGTCGAACAGAACGCTGCCCTCTTGTGGGGACTGGCTTGAACACGTCCTCGAAGTTGAAGTCGTCTTGCCAGGGAGGGAGGCTCAGGGCTGATGCTGCTCCGGCCTCCTCCTCCGCTTCATGCTCATCAGACCTTGACCGGGTAGTTTCTCGCTGGCTTAGTGTTTGGTCTCCCTGTCCTCTCTCAACTTCATGGTTCATTTGGTCGTCTGGTTCATTTTCCTGACCTGGCTCAACTTCTCCTAATGCATGTTTGAATTCTTCACCTGCAGAAAAGCCAGTGGTGGCTTCCAAAATGGTGGGTGATTCGGACTTCTCATTCATAGCTGTAGGAGCATCTAACAAGTTCATAGCACTAATATCACTTCTTGCGTCTCCAGTACTTTTAAATACAGTTTCAGTTCTTTTGGTTTCCTCTGTCTCCTCTTGTTCCGCGTAGTTCTCCTCACTCCTGTCATGCACCCTCGCGTCTGCTTGGTCATCATTAACACTGACCTTTATACCCTTCAGTGCTCTCCCTGTGCCCTTTGACCCTGACCGCCTCCTCGTCCGTTGAGCAGAGTTCTTTTTGTTGGCCACAGGAAGCGAGAGCGAGACTTGGGGAGTTGTAGAAGTGTTTAGGGCTGTCGTGTCACCTGTCTGTGGCACCACGGCTGTCGGTAGGTCACCGCTGACTGATTTTCCATTACAGCGGAGGTCAGGGTGAGGCGTCAGGCTTGGGGCTATTCACAAAAGGAGACAAACATGGTCAGGGCAAATGCTGAACCGACAGACCAGAAAAATATTTCCACAGTCAAGATGAAAAAAGGCAGTTACTATATGCAGAGGGTAAATTTGTTTAAAGTACCCATCTACTACAATGCTAATCATGTGATTTGACGAGCCTTTAAAAAGGGCATCATATCATTTTTATGGTGGAGGATCCACCACTAAAACTTTCACTGGAATGTCCCACAGTACATCATTAAACTTATGTCCATGGAGACAAGCTGTTGACATCACCAGACCAAATTATAGGTCAGATCTGTGGAGAGGTGATCACACTCGTAGTAAGAAAACATTTTCAGCAATAAGTTGATGAATACCCCATACTGTGGAACATTTCAGTAACAACAAAAACTACCACCAAAATTGAAGGTACAGAGAAATGTTTTTTGAATCTATGTGTTTGTTCAACTAAAAATAACTATAAAGTACTTCCTTCATTTGTTGCTGGCTTTATACAGTGATAATCAAGTTGATTGACAATGAAATATTATCTAATTAAGAACACTTCAAAACTATCTCTCCCACAGGAGTTAGAGTACTTCAAGTGTGGTGTGCCGTGAGGTTTTCTTTACCTGTGTGGTGCAGGGCTGGAGGCTCCTCTGCGCTGAAAGAAAGCCCTAAGGACAGACGCTCTGTAATGGGGCTGAGGGAGGGGTTTTTGGAGGCATACTCTCGAGAGCCGTACAGACTGCGGTCGACTTTCTTGTTCCACCGGCGCGTTGCTGTGCTCGCCTGTCAAAACAAAAACAACATGTGAGACTGTGCTGCTCAATTAGACTGAAGGTGAAGCAAGGATTTCAGAACGTTTACAATTACAATTTTAGATATCGAATTTCACTTAAAGTTTCCCATAACAGAGGCAAGTAATCTATATAATGCATGTTGAGTAATAGAGCAATTATGTCAATCAAAAAAATTGAAAATGTTGTCACACTAAAATTTGACATAGTGGCAACACTAGCAGCTTAGAGATGCACTATAACTTTTTGGTTGGAGGTCCGTCACTTGCTTGTTTCAGTGGATGTGTCACTGCTTTGCCTGGAATGTTTCATAGTATTTACGGACATTAAACAGCTCTACCTTACGTTTATTCAATTACAGATGGTTTTACTGATCAAAAAATACCTAGGGAAACTCGCATTCTTATTGTGAGCAGGGTAATCTCTCCAGAGATCATGAAGATGGAAAGGCTTAATACCATACTGTGGAACATTCAAACAAAGCAATAATAATCTACATGAAGAAAGGCATTTGACGGAAAGTAACACAATTCACTTTTAAGGACATGCAATGATGTGACCCAAGTGGGTCTATTATTACAAACTTCTGACTGTCTCAAAGCTCCAGGGCTTCATCACAAGTATGAGGTACAGAACCTGCTGAAGCAATAGGTGAGAAGAACACTTTGAATGACTAGGCTTATTATAAATGCCCTTGCCTTAAGTTCGTGCAAATGCAGGGAGGTTATGCACTGTGGCTTCAGAAATATTGATTTATCTTTTGATGGGAATGAAAATGCATTTACTGAAGCCTTAAAAAAGACTGATAGCTGGCACCACTCCTGATGAAAAACCTACTGGAAGCAATGAACCTTCTCTAGCTGCACTTAGACAAAAATAACACCATAATTTGCTATGAAATACAGTTGAGTGTTGACAGGAGCTCAGGGGAGGAGAGCAGAGTGAAAAAGTGACCAATTTCTATGTAAGGCATTTAATAATAATTTCAATGTAAATATGAAATCTAATCATAACTTGTTCTTTCTACTAGAACAGCTTTCAGAATGGGTTTAGAGCGATAGTGATCATGTTATGCATTTATCCGAGAGGCAAATTACACATTAACACCGTTTAGTGAATGGGCGTCAAGTGGGGTTGTGTTAATCAAATTTTAAATCAATTCAATCGTTTCAAATTGTCAATGATCAGCTTGAGGCTTTTTAATAGGGAGGTCTAGAGCCAATCGACTGTGGTTTTGAGCAGAGTTCAAGCTTTGGAAGTTAAAACTGGACTGCATTTTTGTGTTAAATGGCAGTTTAAAAGTTTGTCTTGTTAATTATTTGATACAAATTTAAGAAACCAAAATCATGTAAAATAGTGTGCTTCTAGAGTTTCAGACTGTCAGGATAAAACCTTAATATCAGTTTGTAGCACTGCAGTTACTAAAGGTCCTTATGGAAATGAAACATGAGTACGGTATCTTTCATACATGAGCATGACTATAAATTTATCAGGCTCTTGTGGGTTTAATGGTACTGTTTTATATAATCTGGTTATATTCACAAGATTAAGTCTGAAAGAAGAAAAAGTAAAAATGAAGTGGAAAATTGTGTTGCTTCTAGTTACAAGCATTTTTTTAGTTAGAAGTTATTAAAAGTTTAATATTTTGATAGAAATTCATTGTACGAATTCCAACTAAGGCTAAATGATTTGGGTAAAATAAATGTTTTAATTTTGAATTTTGTTCAAAATGAATTGCCAGAAAGACTGAAACAAGCAAATGAACTGATAAACTAATACAAAAACACGTATTTCAGAACATGATTATACAGATCTAAACTACAAGGTTAGCAGCTTTTTGTTGTGTTTTTTTTTACCCAGCTTTAGACAGGATATTTGGTTGTTTGTGGAGGACTTATGGTTCTACAAAAACTGCAGCCTTTGCGATCTCCAAATTGCGATTCTGAGTCATTTGTGATTAATCTTGCAGTTCCCAATTCCAATTCATTTCAAATACAGATACGCTTCTACAATTTCAGAACTTTCATTTAAATCCAAAACTTTGACAGTCTGTAGCAGTGCAGTTACAAAAAGTCCTTATAGAACCGTAACATGGGGTCGCCTTAATACAATCCTCCACATTTATCAGCCAATATGAGCGAGGCTGTAACTCTATCAGGCTCTTGGCAGGGCAAACTGAGCTGTATTCAGAGTAGAGCAGCCGTCAGCCCTGTGAGCACCTCCCAGTAAGCAGCAGCAGTAGCAGCAAGAGCAACAGCAGCAGTCTACCACAGCTCCATCTGAAGTGGAGCAAAAAGAAATGAAAACGTAGGATCAGCGGCTCACCTTCATCTTCCCAGAGGCCGTCTTGGCAGCAGAGCGTGACGACCTCTTCACCGGTTCACTCTCCTCTGGCAGCTGCGCCAACACATAGAGAATAAGGAGTCTATATTAGAACCAAAATACAATCTGCTTCTCCGTTTCATACAAAGTGCAAATCATCTACGTGATAAAGCTCAGATATGAACGAATTAAACAGTGTGTTAGATGGAACATATTGTAACCCGGGATTTATTAAAAAAGCCAATCCGTTCTGGGAAAATGGAAGCAAGCAAGACCCAAGATGAAGAGTAATTTGTGGAGATGGCAAACCTTTCTCTTACGGCCACTGGAGCGAGCGGAAGCCTCTGTTGTGTCATGTGAAGCCTGCAAAAAGGAGAGATTTAATGGCTTTTGTTGCAGGGATGAATACGGTATAGAAGGTTGTTTTGGTTGTGATAATGAGAGTTTTCTGTTGTACGCAGAGTGGAATTGTCAAGACTGAAAATAGTGCATTGTAAAAACAGAATAGACGTGACTAGGAGATTTCTCGAAGAGGAAATAATCAGACCTTTCCCCCTCTTCTTCTGCTGTTGCTGGTGCCACAGGCAGGAGCTGCAATGTCTGTTTGAGGCTCCTCCTCCTGTAGGGGTTCATGAGGCAGACTGTCCATCAGGCAGACTGTTTCAACTGCTTTAGTTTCACATTCTGTAAAAAAAAAATAAAAATAAAAAAATAAGCAGTGAGATGCATTCACATGGAGGCTATAAAGATATACAGTACAGTGTTGAGGGAAAAGTTTTGGAGATATAAACTATGAAAAAAGAACTAAATCCAGTTGACCTAATAAGATGGATGAATAGTTAAAATTTTTGTTATCCCTTTAAAAAGGTCCTATATTACACAAAATTGACTGCCGAGTTGTGTTTTGCTCATTCATACATGTTTGAGTAACTCTTTATTATTAGTCTGTCTATATCTTCATAGAACAAATTACTGGACCTTGTGATGTAACAGCTAGCTTCGACCTTTTGTTAAATAGAGACTGGCAATTCCAAGGCTGAAATTATTCAAATGATTCATGAAGATGTGTGGATCTTAAAAACAGTGGCACACTTCTAGCATTACAATATGACATAAAGTGCAAGTGTTTTTTATTTGACTCGGCCTAAATATGCAGAATTTGTGTGTTAAATGTGTGAATGAAACAAATATACCACAGAGATCAGAAATTAGCATAACAAGGGCCCTTTAAGATAAGTATTTTGTTGAAAAAAAGGGCCCATCTCATGCAAAATAAATTTTCAGAGCTTTCTACCTTCTAAGAGACGTGTGGGCCTTGTATATGTCACCGAAGTGGTTTTTACATTGATTCAGCGTTATTTTTTAACAAATTTTAACAACCCATAGATTTTGTTAAGATTTTCAAAAACTACAATGTTGGCACAGTATCTCCCTTCATACATATTTAGATGCACTACTAATATTCTTAAAAATAAACTGAGATAGGGTAAATTATGACTGGAATTCCACTGGGGAGACTATAGTAGACTAAAGTAGCTAGATATCATGTGAATAATATTTACCTGTTTCAGTGTGAGAAATAGAGTCTTCATTAAAAGCAGTGTCCAAATTCGGCAGCTGGGCATTTAAAGACTCTGGAAAAAGGTAACAACTACTAGCACACAAAGCACTTTTATGTGAGTCTACTGTAAAGAAAAACCTAATTTCACTGTCAGACCTTCAGCTATGGCAGCTTCTTTTTCAATCTCCTCTATGGGGAAAGGAATCTGCAAAAAAGATAATACATGTCCAACTAATTGCGAATAATAAGAATTAATCACTTGATGTTATATAAAGTTATTTTTAAAGTTAGAAGCACCATTCCGCTCATTTCCTCCTCATCGTCCTCTGAAGTGGCTGTCCTGCGGCTACGAGGCATGGACAGAGTAGGAGAGGCAAACACAGAGGGGCTGCTGAGCTCGAGCTGGGCTCGTGTGGAGGGAGAGTCGCCTCTTTGAGGAGTCTTGAGCAGAGAGCGCAGCTTCAGGGCACCTCCGGGTGTAGGCACCCGGGCTGGAGTGCCCCCCTTCTGCAGAGGGGTGCTGGGGGGCAGGGTCTTGTCAAACAGCTCCGGGGGCAGAGGCTCTCCAAAACGCACCTGCTTCTTCTTTTTCCTTAATGTGGGGCTGCTGAGGGAGTCTGCTGTACAGGGACCAAGACCGTTACTTAAGGATGACACAAAATCATAATTATTTGCACACAGCTATTATAATTATAATGCACACTTTGTAAATCTAATGACATTATTGCGCCAATTAGATACAACTGAATAGATCCTTTTCTCAAAGACTACTCAACTTAAACAGGTGTGTGCATGTGCCACAAACAGTCATGTACTCTGTATAAAAGCTCGTTTTAATTCCAGTGGTTGTATTCATTAAAGGAAAAAATAAATAGCACTCCTGGATGAATGAGTGATAAGATCATAACATTAGTGTATGCACTTAGTCCACAGTTACCTGAGGGCTTCATCTCCAGCAGAGAGGAGATGGAGGGGCTGGTGAAGTGGGAAACAGGCAACTCTGCAGACACTGCTGAGGGGTCATCAGGTCTGGGCTGGTGGATTCTCTCGAGTTCAAAAACAACCTCCTGTAGAGAGAACACACAGACCCCTGTGCCACTGTGGTGTGAAGACAAAAGCTCAAATTTCTTCTATGTGGATATGAGGATAACAAACTTAAAGGCAGCACATGGTACAGTACTTTTCCTTTCTATAGCTCTCATTGTAATAGTCTTAATAGTCCTCTTGGCAGATCATTCAAACGAGAAAATTGTTTAATGCAAGAAGCACCTCCTGCTGCAACCAGAGAAATCACCAGTTTGACAATTTTAATGAAACCTTCTATTTCAATTTATACTAGTTTAGCAGTTCTATATTCCAACTAGAGAGGCTTGCCTTTGTCCATATACATCTTGTTATGTGGCACTGAGTTTTTAAAATGTTGAATTCATATGAATTAAATTAATTTTATATTCATATTGACATGAGGTTTGAGCTTTAAAACTAACAACAATCCATCTTAAACAGCTCCCAGCTGATTCATTTCAGTTCTCATAGCCAAACTAGTGCTGTAATATTAACCTGTCTTTATTCAGGTTATATAAACATTTGTATCATTGCCTATTCTGTAATGACTTGAAACAGTATAAAACAGAAAGCCTCTGACCTGCTGGTTCTCCACAGGGGGCCAGAGCTGGGCGTCTGGAGACACTGGCAGCTCTCCTTCAGTGAATGGAGGTGAAATGACCAGCGCTTGAGCAGGTGGCCCCTCTGATTTATCGGACTGGAGTGATCTGTGTTTCACAGACGAGTCTTCTTCCTGAAAACACAAATTCAAAATGGCTTTAGACCTTGCATCCAGACGATTGAAAAGAATGATACATATTGAATAATGATAATTACAATGTTCCATCTATGAAGAATAAAACTGTAAAAGTGAAAATCATTTACTACAAGAGATAAATGAAGTATGGCTTTTTCTGAGTGATAGACAGCTAGATGGTTTGCACTAGTGAAGTAGATTCAGTGCAGGTACCTCCAGCTGTTTGAAGAGCAGGGGAGGGTGACTGTCCTCTGTAATCTCACCCTCACAGCCATGAGAGAGGCCCAGGCGCCTCTTCTTGTTGGGTGGGAGTGCTATGGAGGGAGGGTGGTTTTCTTTACCAGCTTCAAGGTTTTTGCCATCTGAAAAAACAAAACAAAAACAAAAGATTTTATAATGTAGCAGCACAATTCACAATGCATTTGTGGATATTTATATTTAGTAAAATGACAAATGACAGATGATTAGTAAATGTAAAATTACAGGGCACAGTGAGTAAGTTTACATACAGGTAAACAATAGCACTGGTTGATTATAACTGCATGACTAGAGGTACAGGTGTTTTTTTTACTTTTGATCCACTTCTTTTAAAGTCAAAGTTAGACTGCCAGAGCTTCCATGTTTTCAGCTGAACAGCAGTTAGAAATTTAGAAAAAGATACACATTTTTTCTAACTTCAAACATTCAATAGTCTAAAGTATGTGTAAAGTGCATAACTAGTTGATTTTATTAGCATTTATTAGCAAGGAGCATACTCCGAGAACTCTGCATGTAAATGCAGTGAGTGATTCTTTGCCATGATCCAGTTGTGTTGGAGCACCAGTTGCCTCAGACTTCATAAAGCAGTGGCACTGGCTCGTCCCCCTTTGAGTAATGGCCATATTAATCCAGTGGCAGTGTGCGGCGCTCTCACCACACAGATCATCTCTTGTGGTGATGCATCCCCCAGAGCTGCTGTCCCCGTTCTCCTCCATTCCCATCAGGCTCTGGAAACACGCCATCTTCTGCCTCAGCGTGGAGGCGACCAGCGGCAGGAATGGGCTCTGTCTGACAAGCTGGAAAAGTTAAAAGTTACAAAAAAATAAAATAAATAATAGACACAAATCTTCTCAGTGACGGTGCTCGACAGGCAGCAGACTTTTCAAACTTCAGAAGTGCTATCATCCAAAGGCAGCAATTTTATCACATACTCCACAAAATGCTAGATTTTGGGCTTGTAGGGCTAAATTGCACAGGAGTGGCTTTCCTTGAGTCTATTGTGATTTCAAATATACAACAACAAAATGAGCAGTAGCTACTTCCAAGTAATTTAGACTGAAAACTGCACCCCTTGCCGTTAGTATAATATAAAATGTTTAGTTACTATGGTAATAAGGGAGCTGTGAACAAAGAGGATTGCTGTTTAGTAAACAGAGGAGGGATGATTTTGAAGGCGCTTTTACTGCCTGTGGCTCATCGGAACAAAAGATGCACAAAATACAGACAATTATATTCAGGGTTGCTTGAGGTTTTTTCAAAAGAAAATTAAAGCTGTCTTTTTATGTCATTTAGTGTGAATTTACAAGAGAGGGATCATCTGAATAATATAATGTGTACTTAAGACTATGCTTTGAGATTTGAAAAGTTAAAATTAAAAGTATAAAAGAGAAAGATAATGATAGCTTCAGTAAGTACAATTAAACAGAATTCTAATGTTGTAGTACGTCATGTAACATAACCATTATTTTTAGATAAAATGACCTTAGTTCAACACAGTCACAAATAATAACCATTTGATACTTGAATACCTTAATGAAAATACACAGAAGCAAAGGCAATTCTGAAATAAGATGGTTGCATCTCATTTCTAGTTGAGGCTTTTATTTCTGTATTGACTTTTAGAGAGACGTCTTATTAATTAAAAGCTGTAAAATCTGTGAGGATAATTGGGTTTTGACAGATCCCGTTGTAACATTTCCCGTTCTCACAAATGTCGACAAAAATCTCAATTCCATTCAGTCCATGTTTTGTGCTCCCGTCCACAAATATTATGGTATCACTTTTCATCTCAGCGTGAAGTGATAAATAGTGCTGAATTAATGCTCGTTTTGAATAACATAAGCAGCGAGTCTATAAATGCAGCTAAATCTGTACGTGATCATTGGCAGCCGTAATAGGGAAGAGGAAAGCCCAATATTGCAGTGCCATATGGTAGGACTTAAATATTGTGAACAGTGAATGAACCAGGAGGAAGCTAGCGCTCTGCCTGATCAGTGTAGGTTTTAATTGGGTGATGAAAAACAGAAAAACATGGCGTATACTAGGAATACTAATTTCTAACTTTAACTTTAACACAGTTTGTTTCATGTATTCAGAAACCCAGCATTGTTTGTTGAAGATAACTTACCCCAATTCCAGAGGTGGGTAGTACTTAGTTACATTTACTTGAGTAATGGTACTTTTTACCTTTCTAGCACTTTTTTCTCCTACTTGAGTAATATTTTTTTTATCAAAGTAACAGACCTCTTACTTGAATAGAAGTTTGACTTAGACTTTAATTGAATACGCTGACTGTTACGATTTGAACATTTGTGTTTCTTGTACCGCAAGTTACAACTTGAGAAGTAGCTTTCCCAAATACTTTTTTTTTACACTTACTTGAGTAACTTTAATATTAATAGTAATATTTAATATTAGTAATATACATTTGAACTAACGTAACTTTTGACTCCTCTGCCCACTTGTCCTGTAAAAGTTACAAGTGCGTAATGACCGACAGTCACCTCTGGAGTGGCTTGAGTCGGTGGTGTCTTCATTCTCTGTTGTGCGATGAACCGAATGAGCGAATTGGTTTCAGGTGAGCCACGGACACCGATGTTAGATCTTCGCCTCTCTTTTAATTGAGCAAGACGTGACTTTTCTGAAATAACAAGGAATGGACAACAGTCATAAGCCATGTGAAATCTACATTGTCTTTAAAGTGTCATGAGTTATATCACTACCTTTGCGGTTTGAAGAGGGTTGTGATGCTGGGATAAAGCTTTGAACAGAAATGCCAAAGTCAGCTGCTGTGGTCTCTGAAAAGTTTATGGGAATAGAGAGATCTGCTAAAACAGTTGTGGATCCCTGCTGTTCCTCCTCAGGGGCAGTGGAGCTCATCTCGATTGTTGACATCTGTAAAACAAATGACGATTTTAAACTAGATGGAACTGGCAACACTGCAGCTGTCTTATTACTACAACTTTGCATCTTACAAATGAATGAATGCATACATTATATTTAGCCTTTTTAAATACTTTCAGGGGTAATAGAGGACAGCATTTCTGTTCATTTAGAGAGTGGGAGCATTTATTCTTTCAACCTGCTGTTTCAGAGGCTAAAAACTGCAGACAGAAACAAGGTGACCACATCGGTTGCATGTTTTAATGTTACAGCAGACATTTATTCATATATATCATTGATTCTATTGCTGCTTACGACAGTGATAATTAACTAGAACTGACTTTTAATATAGTGAAACTTACAAAGGCCTCACTCCTGTTATTAGCACACTTATATTCATAAGCTAACGTTATAAGGCAATGCTTCAGCAGCATTCACAGAGGCTATGTAGAAATACTTACTTTGCAAAGTTACCGTGACGACGCCCGGGCTGTTAGGCTACTTGTGGATTAATAACTTACATTAAAATATTGCAAAAATGCCATAAAACCAACTGTAATAATTAAAAAAGTTAACAACAGCACACAGGAGGTTCAAAATCCCCACCACAACGAGAACCCAGCGGCGCAACTGATATCCCTCCGCGACTGAATTAACAACAAACGAAATACTAACTTAATCACAGCATTTCAAAATGTACAATCCATGGCCATGGCTCTAATCATATGATAAAAAGAATACAGAGTTACAATGAACTTAAACTAAAATACAAGGAAAATAAAAGTTGTGTGCTCGCGTACTATTTCCCGTAGACCGGAACTAGTTTAATATGAATTGTCCAATAGAGAAGCAGTGTACAAATCACGTGGTTATGTCATGCGCGCGCAGAAACTACACAAAATATTTTATTTTACTTTTTGTAAAGGAAATATTGTAACGTGGATTATATGTATACTATTTATTATGGTCAGTTAGATGAGTTTTCTTCATATTTTTTTTCTTTCTGCAGCTCTTGAATGTTTTCCATCTGTTGTTGACTGGAAGCAGATGCAGAGTGCATGAGTGCAGCTTTCTCTGGACTTCTCTTGGTTTTATTTGACCTAATGCCTTAAAGATAAGCAAGCTTCCGTTCTTTAACAAGAAAATCTATATTTACTAAGGGAATATAACAGGCCCAAATCTCAGGCCTACATTTAAAGACATTTCTAGTCTCCTGCCCATATAGCAATTAGACTCACCATATTGCAGCACCCCAACATTAGACTATAGACATAATATCATTCAATATTGCGGGGTTTGATTGTGCGATAAGTCATGCTGCATGTACTCTCAGAAAAAGCAGTTGTTGGTGAGTGAGTGTGCGGTGCAGCTGAGTACACTGACATCAGATGTAACTTTGAGAAAGCTGTGTGCAGTGGGGCTGTCTCTGCATCAGGCACAGGGCTTCCTCTTCAAGGCAGCACTCAAAGTAGCTACACAAGTCTGACTGTTGTGCAGCCAAGAAGAAGCACAGAGAAGATGCAGGGCCCTAGACACACACAACTGATCCCTCCTGTGTCTATGGGAATACCTGTCAAAAATGAGATGTTTCTGAAAGTATCACAAGTTATATAGAAGAATACTGTATGTGCATGAGTCAGTTAATAATATGATTAAAGGATTAAGACATCATTTAATTTGCTCTTTTGCCATGAAGATTGGTTTCACAAATTTGTGTTTTTTATTATAATTTGATATTTTTTAAGAATCTTATTTTTTTAAAACTAAGTTTAAACATTTTTTCTTTACCTTCCGGAGTTCCCAGAAGTGGAGAAGAAGAGTATATTCAGACATGGATTCAGGCAAATGACTCCTTCTTGATCTGAAGGATTTTGTGAGAACTTTTCAACCTTATTCTGATTTAAATTGTATAATACTCTATATTGAAACCCATGAGTACATTTGACAATTACCTCTTTGTGTGGTGTTATAACTGCACAAACATCTTCACTTATACAATTAAGTTCAAGCTCAAGCACTTCATGACACATTCACAAGTAAGTATGGGCAAAACTATAATTATGTTGTTGATAAGGATATTCAACACACAGGAGTATATCTCTATTTTTATTTGTGTATATATACACATATAAAAAATAAGGACATATGTACAATGGTAATAAATATCAACATGTTTGTACAAGTGAAATAAGTTACTTTAAAAACAAAAAATCAATAACAAGCAAAACTCAGGCAAAATAAAATAGGGATAATATAATACTAGTCATGACTCAAGAAACTGAAAAGCTACGTTACAGTGTGAGCAAATGGTTTGTAAGATGCAAAGGAATGGAGTGTTTTACATCACAAATGTATTTCTTCAAGCATGTCACCTGTTGTCTTTTTAAACTTTTTTGCAACATATTGATGATATTAAATGAAAGAAATATTCTATCTCTAAAACGAACAGTACCAGTGTAAATAAAATTTAGCTAAAACTACCTGCTTAAGGAGAGAGAATAGAGGAGAGGACACATTCTATAGAGCTGTTTCTTTTTACCTAATATAGATAACAATGGTAGGACTGCTAATCTAAAATTTCATGGTTTTGGTAATGTTTGCATCTTTGTATAAATAACTCATTTAGTAAAAGAAAACAGGAAGTATTAGTCAAACAGTCTCATTTACGTGTTCTATGAGACCAGTTTTAGCAAAAGGAAAAACTGCTCACATCAATCAGACACAGCATCTTGACCACTGACTGACTGATCATCTTCTCGTATAATAGAAATAAATTAAGAAAACAAGCTAAGATATTTTATTGTAAATAAGAGTGCAGTTTGGCAATTTTTGACAACTAGACAATTTGGGCACATTCAAAACAGTGGCAAAATGTTTACTCTCAATATTTGGGTGGCCAAGTAGTCATGAAGGTTTGCCTGATTAACGTTGCAAAAGGACGGACTTAAGACTGAAATATTAATCTTGAAACTAAATATCTTAAGTTGTATAACAATAGGAAAAGCAACTGCAGTCTACTTTGGCTTATCCAAAAGATGAAGAGGCACAGATAAAGTAAACAAGTTGAAAGTCTGCCGTGAAGTCCTGTACAACTTTTGAATCAAAATTTCAATTTTTTTTGTTTGTTTTTTTGTTGTTGTTTTTTTTTTTTGTCATAGAAGAGAGCCTTACATTTCACCATTTTAGCGCTTGTAAAAGTCCAAAAATGATGGGTCAAAATGATGCACAATGTCTACAAAGGTGATCATATCAAAGATGAACTTGCAGAAGATCATGCAACACTAGGTGGCGCCGCTGTTGGCCAAATTCCTCTTCATTCAACCTTCATTATCTTCACTTTCTACATCCCGGTGGTGCTCTGTACACATGGGGAGGGGTATTGTGTCCTCTCCGGTTCATCCCTTCTTCCGCTGGTCCCAAAAAGCCAAACCCCTGATAGACAGAAAACAACAAAGGACAAAAAAGACAGGAAAGTTAGCACAAAATACAGTTCAACATAATGAGACAGCGTGCAGACATTGTTCAAAAGTTTTCAAAGTTAAGCTAAGTCAAAATTTGGGTTACTTTGTAGGACATTGTTATATGACTTAGGCAGGTGTTGCAGCTAAAAAATAAAGCAAGTAAAGTTATAATTAGAAATACAATAGAGGCACATGCCAGAGTAATCTATATTATCTTAAAAGAGGCTCTGTTCATCAAGAGATTGTCTCATGTCCCCAAAATAGTTCTAATCTTAAATAGAATGATTTTAACAAGGTATGTAGGTTTTATGTCACATGTCCTCCTGTTAGCAATCCTGTCACAGCTTGATGACACCAAAAATACGACCCTGAGTAAAACACTTCAACATACAACTAACACTATAACTATAACTAAAACTAATACTTAAATTATTATTATGACAACAGCAATTATTATAACAAGTACTGACTTCTGATTGTGAACCTGTACTTAATCTGGATGTTTTGAATTTATGCTCTATCCATTTGAATTTTTATTGTATATTTCACCTGTCCATGTTTTCATCATTACAATTGCGTTCAAGGCCACAACCGAAGTTTAAACTGTGCTGAATGTGTACCATACAGAAAGATGGCTTTCTACAAGCAAAAATAGAATTTGGTACAAAGACCTTTCTTTTTATTCAACAGTGATCTCCCTTTTTCTGTAACCACAGTGCAATTTAGTCTGGCTGGTGGCCGGGGCAGACAATAGAATGGCTTTTATTCCTGAAGTTGTTTTCATTCTTTTATTTATTTTTTTGTCATTTTTTCAAAACACCAGATGAAAGCACTTGCCTCTGCGTTTGGTTGTCTGATGGAAATTATATTTTCTTGGCTTCAGTTTTTGGGAAGAAAACCAATATGAATGTCAAATGAATATTCCTATCCAAATGTTGCCAGTAATTATTAATTTGAAGTTTAAATAAAAAGCAGATTATTGTAGGAGGGAACTGTCAGTGTTTTTCATTAAAATTCAAATGAGAATTACTTCAAAACAAGAACCATTTTGTTTTTGAAGAAACCCATGAATATTAGCAAATGTCTATGAATATGCAATAAGCACAACTCATTAACACATTCACAAGAAACTTTTGTCTGATATTGCTTTCTTTACAACACAATTTGTCTGTGTGCTTTGTAGAATTGGTAACATGATAGAATCACTTGAAATCTGAAAATTAAACAGACAATAATATAACCATAATGTATGTTACTTTCATTATATGTCCACCAGGTGCCACTATTTACAACTCTAAAAACAATTTTAGTGAAGTTGTAGAGTTACATCAATTGGGCAACAATACAATCAACTGCCACGTGTTGTATGTAGCCCCAGCACTTTAGCATTAGAAGATGGTTATATTATTCATTCGTTTTACATGATAGTGGTTATAATTGGCCTAATTTGCATTTAGAGACAAGAAAAATTTAATCCTTAAAGATGCACTGCGTAACTTTTCTGGTAAAGGGTCTGCTACCTGCGTGTCTCCATGGAGATATTGTTGCTTTACCTGGAATGTTCCATGGTATGGTATATAGATTAAACAGATCCGATTATGGGTGTTTCTGTTGCTCAAAAATAAAATAATTTCTTCTGTGAATAGGGACGACTCTCCACAGATCTGAGTTGTAATGTAGCGTATTGCTGTAACCTGCTTGATAGATAACATTTTGATGGAGACAGCAAGTAGCAGACCCTCCACCAGAAAAGTTGCACTGTGCACCTTTAGTGAACAAAAATTATTATCTACAAAATTATTTGGTAAAATTTATACCTTTACTTCTGCTCAGCGGCTGTCCCCTTCTGAAGCCAGCAGTCCATTATTCCTTCATTACAGCAGGGACCAGTCTAACCAATCTTCATCCATAATTTTTACAGTGCTCTTCCTCTGTATTTGTCCACAGTATCCAGGTCTGCCTATGGGCCTCGGTCAAAACAATATAATCCAGAATAGTTTTCATTCATAGGGCCATGTGTGTGTGTGAACGAGTGTCCATCTTGGCAGTGCATATTCCCATCTTCACTTACAAATGTACAAGTCTTAAAAGCACTTATTGAGACATCCACAGCAGTCGGAACTACATTCTCCATCCCCACAACGTCTTCATGTAATTTGGATTTAAGTGAGCAGTTTATAGATCTGCTGAATGCAAAAAATAACATTTCAAACAAGAATGTCCAAAAGGGCTCAGCTAAAAGCGCGTATCCATGATGCGCTCAATCAAACCTGTGGTGTTTGAAGTGCATTCGTATCGGACAACAAGGTGCAAGTAAAAGTCGCTCTGTGGGCCCAAGTTCATTGTCATTCACAGAGGTGAGCCATCAGTCTATAATAGTAAGAGTTTGAACACTGGTGTAGTCCGTGAGACATAGAAAAATAACAACCAGAAATGTCTTAATTCAAAGCAGCCATCGCAACAAAGGAAAAAGTTGAAGAGATGGCGAGCTTTCTCTGGGGTGCGTACAACATCGTGAGAACAAATTACAAATTGAGCAGAAAGTCTTGAGAGATTGTCCTTCATTCAGTGGTCTCTTGTGTCTTTTACATCTATTCACTTCATTTTCCATTCAATTTCCTCTCTCTTTGTCTCCCTTTGCCTCGTCTCTGTCCTGCACAGAGCTACAGGGACATGATTGTCGTCTTGCTTCGAGTTTAATTAGTCCTCTTTATTCCGCTCTCACTCTTGACTCGCAAATTCAAAACAGGAAAAAATGCGCTTCCAGTTTTAAGTGCAGTAAGCCGTAAAAGCCCCCACCAACACAAGGACAGCCAATCAGCTGCATGTTTCTGCCATTTTCTTCAGCATGAAAAGTTTTTGTTGGTCCAAAAGTCATGTGCCCTTCAAAAACAAGTGACGCCTTTGTTTGATTTCCATGCTTGAGGTGTTCTCCTCTCGTTCAGTTTAAATACAAATGTACACAGTGGAAGCAGCAGTCTGCATGGTTCCCAGTAACACAATAATTCTAGTGCATGTTTGCAAACACAATGTATGAGTCTATAAGAAACATGCTGTGTGCTATAGGAGTCCAACAGGCATTGGCAGAGCGAGAGTGAGCATGACTGAGGAGAGAGAGAGCAGGCGTCCTCAGAGCAGAGGGAGGTAGTTTGGTTGTTTTTCTTTCTACACAAACACTGAAGCCGGAGGAGGACAGGCCTACACGGACGACTCCTCTGGGTTAGCGTCTGGCAGCACACTCCTCTGCTGCAGTGTGCGCCTCAGCTCCTCTTTAAAGGGGCTCGAGTAATCATTCCCGGTCATACCCCCCAGGCCCGCCAGGCCGCCACCGCCAGCGCCAGGCCCGCTAGCCCGCTCCTCCCCCGCAGAGCTCAGGTTCAGACGGATGTAGCCGTTGCTGCCGGAGCCCCTGATGTTGGTGAGGCTGAGTCTGCTCGGGGAGTGGATGGGCTGCCCGGGGATGGCACTGGGGGGCGGTGCGCTGCTCACACTGCTGGGCCCGAGGGCATGACCGGGGACGATCTTCAAAGAGCCATCAGAGTAGTAGTAGTTAGCGCCTGTCTCCCAGAAGCGGTCCTCGTCACTGGGCATCTTACTGGGCACAAAAGTGGGTGGTTCTTTGGGGAGAGTGATGGGATACACCAGAGTGCTCTCTAAAGGTTTCATATCTGCTCCTTTTCCTAGTGCTAGCTTTAGCCTCCTGCGCAGGTACAGAGCTGCTACTAACAGAAGCAAACAGGCTGCTCCCAGAGTGATGACCAGGACCCAGAAGAGTCCCATGCTGCTGTCGGGAGCGCGTGCTTCCATGAACACAGGGGCACTGGCCACTACTGCCACCTGGTACCGCTCCGTCTGAAACTTGACGCCCTGCTCCTCGGAGAAGCACACGTATCTGCCCGCCTGCGCCTGTCCTGCGTCAGGGATCACCAGGGCCTTGAGGGTGCGGTCAAAGCGTGCTCCCGCCACTTCTGGAGAGCCCAGCAGCAGCTCGCGGTCATTGAAGAGCCAACAGGGCTGAGCCAGATTAGACACCAGCTGACAGGGCAGGACCATGTCTGAGCCCACCACCACTGTCACGTTTCGGAGACGAGCATGCTCTGCAAAAGAAGACATGATGTGTCAGTGATCCTAAAACTTAAAGAAGGATTATTACACTTCTATGAGATATTAATCGCTAACAAATGTAGATCACCATGTTACCTTTTATTGTTTTTGAAAGGGCTATATTTGAGGAAAAGAATGTATTTACTTTACACACATATACACATATTGTATATAATTATGCCTTATTTGACCAGTTTCTTTCCATTTTTGCTACTTATTTAGAATGTATTATTACCATTTATTAGGAATGTAACAATAACCGAAATATTGTGATAAAGTTTCACAATAAACGTGGACAGTCACAATATATCGAATCACAAGTTCCTTTGCTTAAATGCATGGTTTTACAGTAGCACCAGCTTATGAATGATCAGAAACTACATATCCCATGATTCATTTCAGTTCAGACAACATGAAGAAATATGTTTTTACTTGAATTCTTGGGATTATGACAAAAATAATTCACACCAAAATCTTGTCAAGATATTTTAAAAACAAAAAAGTGTTCCATCTAAAATTATATAAGCCTCTCAAAATATCGCAATAAATATTGTACTGTGTGATTTGGATATCTTTACATCCCTACTATTTATATTTTTTTCTCTCTGTTATTATATTATATTGTGACATGTCCAAATAATTTCTCTTGTGGATCAATTAAGTTTGTCTAAGTTTAAGTCTAAATATTAACATGTTTAATAAGTCTCCATTTCGTTTTTGAGGCTCCCCTCCCTTTGCTCTCTGCATTAAGTCACCCCCCCTTCAGAGTGCTAATGAAACTACTGCACATCGCATCAAGTTTGTGGAGTTGTAAGTGTATTGTTTTGTGTCACGCTTTTGTATATTTATGGAAAATTGCTGTGTCGGAGCATGGGTGAGGCTTGTGGGTTGAATTACATGTAAAACCACTTCAGGCATGTTTTTGATGAGGGAAAAGCGTTATAACATGTGTAGAAAGCGCCAAAAACTCAATGTTGCATAATACTCCCTCTTTAAAATTCAACCACAAAGCTTGACACTCTAGCGTCCTTTTCAACTTCACATTCATATCCCATATACACTAAATACATTCATTTCGCCTCCTCACCAGCCACCTCACCCTCTCAGTCTTCTTCTCTGCACTGCTCCGAGTGTCTAGACCCATGAGTGAAATCCACCAGTTATCTGCCAGGGTCTAACTGTCAAGATCTAAAGTTTGTCGATCCAATAAACTCCCCATCTTTCTTTACCGATTTGTTTTTGTCTGTCCAAGTCTCTCCGGGTTGAATTCTGATTCTTACTCTGCAGCGGCCAGCTTTCTCCCCACTTAATTCAATTTATTCAGCTCAATCTCAATGTATTCACTCAACACTCTTTTTGCTTTTGCAGTGAAGTGGCTTTCGCAATTCTCGAAGGGAGCCAGAGCACTGATGTGGCTGCTAATACTCACCAGGACTGGGGATAGACACAGGCTTATCGAACTTGGCTTTCCCTCGGCTAAACCTCTCCAGCATGAGGTCCTGGGACAGCGAAGAGGTGGATCTAAAGGGGAACACAAAGGATTTCAGAAATGCAGTCTCAAAACAGTAGCACGGGGCTAGCACAACAGTGTTGATACAAGTGGATGATAATGGTGCTTCAGACTGGCTCTTTCTGTTTCCATAGCAAACTGTTAAAATATGCTGTAGGTGCATTCAGTGTCTCTTGTTTCTACAATAGTGCTGTCATAACAGAAAATGTTCAAACTTGATTTCTAATAGGCTCTGTACTTGTTATGGACTGTGGTACGTGAGTTCCTTCAGTCGGTACTTGGACAGCCCTTCATTCACTATGTGAGTTTGCCTAATTAAGTGGTAGCTGTATTCACTTTTCTGCCCTCCTCTGGACAATTGTATGTTTAGAACTACAATGGAAAAGATGCAGTCCACTTTTAGACCTGGTTTAGCCTTAGATTATGCCTTGAATAGTCCTGATATGATATACATGACATAAATCTAGTGTTACTTGGTGTGAAAAGTTTGAGAGCTACTGTTTTAAAGTGTAATTTAACACAAAAAAATAGAAGTATTGTATTTTTTGGGTGACTTTGGGTGGTCCTGCGACTTATACTTATATGTTAAAATTTTCACACTGACTGCTGTGAGAGGGCGCTCTAGACTTATGTACTCCTGTACCACTGTCACTTCGCACTCTACTGCACATGTAGGCTGCAGAAGAAAGAGAAAGAGTCACTGTCCTGTCTGGTATCATGTCAGTTGATCGCACCATTACTTCTGTATCACTGTCTATTTAAAATTTAAACATAAAGACAACCGAAACCATCCTGTCGGGATTCAGAAAGGCCGGAATAATTCTAACTGGAACTGATGCTGAGTCTGACAACAGCTATGCAGGAGAGGAAGCGGCGCTCCGTTTACCTCCAGAGGTCGCGGAGTTGCTCATAAGTGACACCAAGGATGAAGAATTCAATGGATTTAGTGATTGGAGTGAGATGGAGAGTTTGGTAACCTGTTACACTGTTTATGCTCTAGTTATCTTAACTGTCCACATGTGATGTTAACAGCTTGTAGTTCTCTGTTCTGTTGTTATTACTATTACTTGCCTTTCAAGATGAAATGTTGGTTCCTGGTCTCTGATTTTATAAAAACTAATTTCCCCCAAAAAGTGTGACTTATAGTCCGGAGCAACTTATATATGTTTTTTTCTTCTTCATTAAGCATTTTTTGGCTGGTGTGACTTATACTCTGCAGCGACTTATAGTCTGAAAAATACTGTACTTTTCATATTACCAGGCGGTCTTATGCTAGTGTCTTTTTAAAATGTAACTATTCAGGGAAAGTCAAATTTTGTCCTGTTACATGTCATTTTTTTAGTATTAAATTTTGTAGTTTCATTACTAGTTTAAGTATCCATTCATATCTGATTTTCAATACTTTTAACAACCCTATTCTAAACAGCTAAAGATTTACAAGTTCATATCAATACAGTGAATGTGATACAGCACAGTGGCTTTAGCAAGGAAACAAAAGCAAGTCTGACAAAGTTATGATATATTTCTATTTTGGAGTTTGGCTGCGAGCATTTCACATTGTTCCTTTTTGGCATCTATGGTAGCTGGCTGTCATGAAAACATATACTTTTGTTTTGGAGAAGAAAATAAACAAAACAGTGATGTAACATGGTAGCACAGTGGATCTCCAAAGCTGTGTTAAGATCTGAACTTTTTCAATTGGATATATGTGATCATTTGAAAATACATCCTACTTTTGCACCATTACCAATAAGTTCCACCCCATAAAAAAAGAAATGAACGACATAGCATATGCCCCGGAGCTCACCCTCTGTGGAGGTCGATGCGGACACAGGCGCGCCCCTCACTGTCCCATGCACAGTAGGGGTCCCGGGCCAGCAGGCAGTCGGGCTGAGACTGATAACGACTGCAGTTAGCCAAGGGCAGCTGGAGCACCTCTGAACGCGATCCAATGTACAAATACTTCTACAGAAAAAAGCAAATATATAAGTTAAGAATTGATTGTTTTCAGTACCATTACGCTGGGGGTGTTCTACATGTATGTGAATGGTGGAATGTTCATTAGTTACCATGGTCACACAATGCACACATTAGCAAACACAGCCAAAAAGCTTATAGATCAACTCAAGAAAAAATAGTAAATGGATTTACACAGCACATCTGGAGTCTGTGATCCATACGAGGGTTCATGATCCTGTTTAGGTGTTTGATTTCCAACAAAAAAGGTGAGAGTGACTAACTGAAAAAACAAGAGGGACTTGTTGTCAGCTCACCTGTTGTAGTTCCAGCTAAGTCAGTTCTTTCTGGTCAGATTGTGTTAAAATAAAGCTCAGATTAAAGTCTAACAAGCCCCAGACAGAGTATACCCACAGTTAGCATCACATCCCCAGGGAAAGTTGATGACGTCAGCTGCAAAGGATCAAATTTGGTGTTTTTTTTTTATAGATTCTGCAGCATGATGAAATCACATTACCAGATGGGGACCAAGAGTATGACTTCCTGATTGCAAAAAGGTAAATACACAATTGTTGAAACTGATCATGTTTTTTAGTGACCAGACCATAGAACTTGCTATAGTACAACAAAAATCTATATTTTTACAATATACATTTTATCTGCCCACATCTGACGGCCTATAGAATGTTATGATGTCATATGAAACCCAGAAATTGATTAGCCATGTTTATACTGGATGCCCTTCCTGACCCAACTTTCTTTATTAATCAAATACTACCAAAGAAGTACACTAATACAGGTAAATATTGTCACTGAGAATTGAATGCACATTTGAAAGCTGATGTAAATTAGTTACACTGTTACTCTTTCTTTCTTTATATTTATATATTTGTTAATCTAAAAGCAATGAATTATCTGCTCGCTTCTGACCCCTTGTGGCTGAATGGATGGACTGAAGCACAAAGTATGTAATAATAAACTGACTTTTAGAAGTTCAATTTTATTTGAAAAGTTACAGAGCGTTTTGAGTCTGCATGACAAAAAGGGTATTAAGACAAAGGTTGACCGTTATATCTCTAAATACCAATGAACCACTGATGCAACCTCAAGGCAAGATTATGAAGGAGCTTTCCAAGGATGTAATCTGTATTAGTGATTCTCTGTGCTTACAAGAGAAGAATGAGGTTCAGAAAAGTGATAATTACTTGAAAATTGCATGGTTGAGTTGGCAGCAAATGTGATAAATCTTGCATTGGTTCTTAAAAATCCTAATGACACATAAAAAGGGAATATTTCGTCTTTATAATTAAATGTGCTTGTAATACAAAAGCAATAGACAAGGTTAATAGTGACATTTGCACTGAGGTAAGACTCTCTTCAAACTCAGCAGGCGTGCAAAGATGGTACAAATGTCCAAGGACTTGCAATAATAAAAGAAATGAGAAAAATCTAAGGAGTTGGAAATCAAATATGAGTGCATTAAGAAGTTTATGAGGCAGTGATTATGGTTATGAATATATAATTTGTTACCTTTGAATGGGAGATGGTGAGAGTGTCCACAGGCTGAGGTGTGTCAAAAAGTTGGATCTCCTCAATGACGTGAGCCTCTGAGTTTAAGACCACCACACGCTGTAGCCAACCTTCCGCTGTAGGACAAAAACATACAAGGGTTATTTCTCACTAATTTCAGAGCCTTCTGATCTTGATTAAAGCAGAACAAGTAGACACAGGATATACTTGATTTTAGTGCCAATACGGTGCAAATCTTTGAACTAGCTAATGCATTGTTGTCTGGTAGTTTTGGTAAGTATGCAAGTTTATTTTGTACAATTCGTACACAAAGTGTTTTACAGAATAGGAAAGACATTAAAATCCCAATAATCATCATGCAGAATAAAAAGCTTTCAGTCATCTGCACAGCTAAATAGAACCATTTGGAGCCTGGATTTAATCATTGTCAGAACAGAGGTCTGTCTCACATCTTCAGGAAAATTGTTCCAGATTTTAGCATAAAACTGAAACATTGATATTTAGTCCTGAATGTGGGCACCAGCAGGAAGCACATCTTCAGATGGTTCATATGACACTAACATGTCAGAGACGTACTTTGGCATTAGGCCATAGAGAGACTTGTACAAGCAAATCTGCTTTAAAGAACAAGTTTTATTAATGGGTTTCAGCTTCCTGTTACAGCAGACATTTTGATGACTTCAGAATATATGATATTTAGTTTGAAATTGTTAACTGCTATGGCAAGGTCATCATTTTTCACCATTCTGAAATTGAAATTAGGTCTTACTAGTTATTAGCTAGCAAATGATATTTTCTTTAATGCATATCTAAATCCATTCTGTTTTGAGTTCTTATCTGATGTTTGTTTAGTTTTTCCCTGAACAACCTGTGTAATCAGACCTAATATGACTGCATCTTCAGCTCTGGTTGAATCAGGTCTCTTTACAAAATCTCACATTTTAAAGGCTCTATTAACTACTTTGCATTGTCCCTACTCACCAGTTGCTTCAAATATTTATACTTTGTAAACAAATAATGCCGACCGAACAGCATTTCCCTTAAAAATTAATTACACACTCCCATATTCACAAACACACACCTGCGACCACAAAGAGCCCTTCAATTATTCACAATGCTATTACAACACACACACGCACATATTACACTTTGATGCTGCCTCTGCACAGTGATTTCCTTTGGCTCACCATCCTAAACCACCCTAATTGCACAAAAATATCAGACCAAAGTTGAGTCTTTAGCTAATTAATATGACATGCTCTCAAGCTGGGCTACACATGTTCAGGGGAAAACTACTGCTGAACTAAAATCAGCATCTTTGCTAGTCTTTGCCAGTGTTTTGCTTCAGCACAGCAGGTGAGAGCAGTAAGACCTGTAATGATGTTTGTTAGCTGCTAAAATAAGTGATGCTAGTGACTCGGAAATGGAATAAAGGGTTAATTAAAGCCATCCATCACACCTGCACTTCCTCTGCTATTGTGCAAAAACATCTGCCGCTCTAAAACATCCGATAACTGTTGTCATACCGTCTTGTGTTAAGTCTGGGGCTTTGAGGCCTGAATGATGAGGCATTGCTAGTAATAGTATTTAGAAATGTTATAATGGGGAGTTTATGGTAATCTCATTTGTATAAAGGTTCAACCAGCTGTGTGTACAATCTCTCAGTCTTCAAGGTAGAATCCATGGCAAGAATTAGTCAACTGGACAAAAGTTTCACAGCTCATCCAAGCTGCTTCTTCAGTTCTGGTCAAAATGCTGGTGGACACTTCCTTATATCTGCCTGAAGGGAGGAGCTAACTACACTGAAACTGTTCTGAAACTAACATCTTACTTGTTTACAGTTTCTGTTTTCTGTTTGGGCTACTAAGCTGCACTGAATGTGGAGTCATATTAGCATATAATTCAGGGCCAGGGAAGTGAAAGCATAGCAGCCGGTTTCACTTCATGGAAACAGTCTGACCTCACAGGATTAGGATTCGATCCTTGATCCTCAATCTCGGGAATCGTTAGCACGACTAGAGAAAGCACCAATTATGGTCCTGAATTTAAGTCTAATTTGAGTAACAGAGCTTCTGACACAGTAGTGCTTTCAGTTAGCATCAAACTCCAGGGAATGTTGACGATCAGACACAAAGTATCAATATCAGTATCAGTATCAGGCATAACTAACCAAATTTGAGCTTTTAACCATATGATGTGATATGATTTTGTTTCGTTCACAAATGTTTTAGTAACCTAGCATGTTAACAGTGCACTGTGTCACATTTCTGGTAGAGGGTCTGTCACCTGCTTGTCTCCATGGAGATGTTATTCCTTTGCCTTGAATGCTCCCTAGTATGGCATTAAACTTATTTATCTTGCATTTATTCAACTCCATGTGTTTTATTGCTCCAAATGCCTTGAAAAACAGACATTCTTATTGTGAACAGGGTTGCCTCTCCATAGATCTGACCACTAAATTGACCTGGTCTCTCCTGCTTGTCTCTATGGAGATAGATATGTTTAAATGCCAAATACCTGGTCACATAACTTTATAATAGTTTTTGATATTGCATTATCTACAAATCATTATCTAGAACCATCTAAAATAATAACTTATTCAGTTTTATGATGTCTCAAATTCCAGGCAAAGCAGCATTATCGTAGAGATAAGCAGGTGGTGGACTCTCCATTAGAAAGGTTCCATAATGCACCTTTAAGTCACCTTCACATTCACTCATAACATCAGCTCCTACATATTTTTAAAGTCCAGTCACCTTCACAAGTTGTGTTCAAATCACTGGGCTCACATTGCCACCATCACTATCCAGCTTAGCAAATATTTACTCAACACCAACCATGTGCAAAATTTAGTTTAGACAATTCTCATTATATTTTGGGGTATTGCACGCTATCAACAAACTACCACAAAAGCTCCATGACCCCAGGTAAACTATCTTCTCTTCCGTGTCGAAACTGGGAGCTGTTGCAGACATCATTGTTCTTTACGCATGGTGCTGGTAGTTGCAGAGGACACGTCGGCAGTGCTTTCATGTAGGGCAGAGTGAACTAGTTTGGCTCCGGAGCGGTTCCAGGCACAGCTGCTGGGGTCACCTTCATGTGGGTTTCAAAGTGTGTATCTATGAAATAATGAATCCTGCTGCTGACATGCGAATTCTTATGGGCACATCTCCATTAAGAGACCAGCGTGCATAATAGAGTGATGCTGGGTTTCTGCAGCTAAAATCCCACCACACTGAATAAAGTGAAAGAGCTGATGCACGTATATGTTCATTCTATATTCTAGCAACTATAGGTAACTTGTGAGGTGTCTGAGGATCAACCCAACCCAGAAGCGTTGAATTTTACATTTTACAGTTTTCATTTCATTCATTTTAATCCATTCTCCTGCCCTGGGATGGCAGAAGACAATGTAAAAAAAAAACAAAAAACTGTCCTACAAATAGGACAGCACAAAATGTTTGGTAAATTGAAGATAGTATTCCTATCTCCCTGTTCAATTGCTGTTAATTTTATAATATGCAAAAGTGTGAACCATAAGACATAATGTTGTTAGTCTGTCAGCATCTCCAAAAGTCTAAATGCTCTGTTCTAACTTGTGATGTCATGAAGTGGTTACCTTTTACATTTTGTTCAGTAGTCATTGGCAATTCCAACGCTGAATTATTCAAATGCAACTGATTCGAGTGAAGGTGTATGGAGCATAAAAACACAGAGCAGCACTTTCTGTATTACCACATGACATCACAAGGTGGAACAAAGCGTTTTTGGTTTGAGGGAAGAGCTCCGCTTCGATATGCAGGGTTTGTGTGTTAAACATGTGTGAATGAAACAAAACTCAACTGAAGGTATATTGATGTAGGCAGGCTGGTGCCACCTAGAGTCTCCGCTCAATTTCATTTCTCTCGACTAGGTCAGGAATCAGAATACACTAGACGGTTTGCAAGAAGCCCGGAAGTTGTAGACCGTGCACTGGTCAATCAGCAAAGAGCTGTGAAGGCATTTCATCAAACTCAAGCGCCTGTCTGGGTCCGTATTGTGGTACAGTGCAACAGTAAACAAAGCGGTCGAGATGGATGTAGATGAAGCCATACATTCTGTGCTGGCAACGATTCTCAAGATCAAGGATTTAAAGCTGGAACAAAGAGAATGTTTGGCGAATTTTATCAAGGGAAAAGACGTTATTGCCCTTCTTCCTATGGGATTTGGGAAAAGCTTAATATACCAGTTAGCCCTGTTAGCGGCGCATTACATATATCACAACCAGATAGCAGCGATTGGTTAAATAAAAAAAGTACCCGCCTACCGTCGATGAATGAATCTTAATGCAAGGTCAGACGGTTTCCACGAAGTGAAACAGGCTGACAAATCAGGCTAACATTGATAAGGACCCAAAGAAAATATTATAATATGGGTTCCTTATACAATACTTGGTTTATAAATACACTTTACTTGGTTTTTAAATACTACTTTACACTAGTTTGATAATGCATTATTTTACTAATCATTATCTACAACACTGAACGCCTAAGACTAACCCTCACACATGTGGCATTGCTTCAAATGTCTTTTTTTCACAGAGCTAGCATTTAAGAATACCCAGCCTTACTGTTATCCACTCTGTCACGGTCTTAACTAATACAAAATATCAGCTACCTCATCCCATAGCTGCCAGAATAAATTTCAGCGGCATGCTAACCCCCAACAAGTCTAATGAAATTAACAAAGTTACTCAAGTTAATTGAACAGATTGATTTTAATTATTTAGCCCCACTTTGAATGGCCAACATGACCGCCACTCCTCAAGTCAAACACCAATGGCAGCTAATCCTTCAATCCTTTATATTCACAAAACCAGCTTCGACAGGCACTCCCACCCTTCTCTCTCTTCTCTCACATCAGCTGTCAGTACGCCACAGCTAATAGCTAATCAAGCCTGGAGCCCAATTGGCACTACGCGCTCCCGTCTGCCAATAAGGGCCCCTGTTGAGTTTGGGCCGTGAAGCGCAACCAACCCGGGGATGACTGCGCTTGGCTAGACTCGCATGTGTGCATATCAATTTGTACGTGCATGTTTTTGGCGTGTGCGTGGGGTTGTGTTAACACTAGGAGGTTGCATTGTGGACTTGTGTGTGCGTGCGTGAGTGTCTGGCTAGCGAGCGAGAGACCCCCATTCTTGCAGTTGTCGCGCTGTCAGTTGCCACGGAATCGGTGTGTGAGAGCGCGGTGATCTGAATTGTAAGTAGTTCAAGTCTCGCTATTCATGAGGCAGCCCGCATTTAAATTCGCTGGAATCCACTGTCAGATCGCTGTTATTCGGGATTAGGGACAAGCCAGCACACACGGACTGCAGATCTGTGCCCAAATAGGACACCTGCGAAGCCAGTGGCCACCGAGCAGTAGAGATATTAATTAAGCATATGGAGATTTGCCTTTGAAGCGTGAAGAAGGATATTAGCATGTAAAATACGAGGTTTTCAAATGGTGGGCAGGGATCTACAAGCTAGGGTAGATGGTGAATATAGATTAATAGCATGCTAAGAAGGCTGTATAAACACTGATCAGACACAGCAATATGACCACCTGTCTCAGAGTCAAAGCACTTATGGTAAACCAATGGAGCTTTTAAGGTGCAAAATTCTGGCTGGAATTCACTAAACTGTAATAGTGTGATTCAAGTATTCACCAGTCGTGACCTAGTATTTAAAGGGGGGCCTATATTACGCAATTTTCTGATCAGTGATGTACCGTATTTTTCGGACTATAAGTCACACTTTTTTTCATGGTTTGGGTGGTCCTGCGACTTATACTCTGGTGCGACTTATACATTAAAAATTTCACACTGACAGCCACAAGAGGGCGCTCTAGGTTTGTGTGCTACTCCTATTACTCTTACACCACTGTCACTTCTCCCTTTACTGCGCATGTCTCCTGCAGAAAAAGCCACTGTCCTGCTGCAAGTAGTGAAATATTCAGGCGAAAATGGTAATTGAGCAGCAGAAAGAAAGTTCGGAGTGAGCGAAAAACTTGTAAGGGACTGGCGGAAAGCGGGTATGGAGAGCACAGCTTCACTGCAACCCAGAGGATGCGCCATGCAGCTTTCCTGGAAGTCACTGGATGGATCGACAAAGCCTGGACTTCAGTGACAACGGAAACCATCCTGTCGGGATTCAGAAAGGCCGTAATAATTCTAACAGGAACTGATGCTGAGTCTGTCAACTGCTACACAGAAGATATTCAATGGATTTTGTGATTTGGAGTGAGATGGAGAGTTTGGTAAACTTGTTATGTTGTTTATGATCTAGTTATCTGAATAACTGTTCATATGTTACATTAACAGCCTGTTGTTCTATGTTCTATTTTTATAACTATAACTTTGCCTTTCAAGATGAAATGACGGTTCCTGGTCTCTGATTTTATAAAATAAATTTCCCTTTTATAGTCCGGTGCGACTTATATATGTTTTTTTCTTCTTCATTACTAATTTTTTGGCTGGTGCAACTCATACTCTGGAGCGATTTATAGTCTGAAAAATACAGTAATGTTGTGTCCTCATCACAAACATACCTGGAGTTGTGTTTTGTTTCATTCATACATTTTTTACGTAGAAATCCTGCATATTTAGACTGAGTTATTCTCTCAAAATGAAAACACTCTTCTCCACTCTTGTGATGTCATGTGGTAATACAGAAAGTGCTCCGCAGATCTGAAATTGCTAATCTCTATTGAACAAAAAGTAAAAGACAGCTGTTAACTTGAAAACTACTGCTTCATAACATCACAGAGCATTTTGAGCTTTAGAGAATAATGCAGGATTACCCAAACATGTGTGAATAAAACAAAGCACAACTCCAGGTATGTTTTTGAAGATTCTAACGTGGCTTAAAGCTCAATAAGCGTAATGATACTGTCTGGAAACAGCTAGCAGATTTCCCAAAATAACTTTCTTTTAGCTCCGCCCACTTAATCCCTCCTTTCACTCTGATGTTGAACCGTGGTAGAAAAACAAGTCTGGAATAGCCACAGACACTTACTTCCCCGTGGTTCTCATCCAACAACGTGTCGAACTGAACAAAATTGAGTGGCCCTGGCAGTTGTTTCCATATGGTTCTCATCCAACAAAATGCCTTTTAAATATAGGTAATATCAATCAGTCTCATGCACTTTTTGAAACTTTTCTAACCCGTCTTCAAACCAACATAGTTTAACCCAACTTGGACAAAATATTTAATTGCTAACTGGCTGTATTGGTACAAATAAATAACTCGTACTAAATGATAAAACCAAACATAAACGAATAAATCTCCGTAAGCTATTCCCCTTTCCTGTGCCAATAGTTAGTGAGCAGATATATTAATTAAACTGTGCATATGTAGGTGTTTCCTTTGATGCATGGAGATGGATATCAGCATGCAAATCAAGTCCGTAATTGAATAGACTCTCGAGCCTGGCCAGCTGGCGCGTTGCTCGGTGCCACCTTGGCTAATGTACCTACCTGTCTCAGTCTGCTGCCGTGCCCCAAAAGCACTCAGCTCTCCAGGAAGTCCTACACAACAACTCCCCAGTGTACACAACTACACACAACTACACACAAGTACTACACACAGGTACACACCGACACACACGCGGCGAGGGAATAGAGAAATGTGGGACAACAGGCGCTATCCTTGAATATACTGCTCGCCGCAATGTCAAGAGTACAGCATAGTACAGAGGTGGGAGGAAAAGGGGACAGCTCATATAGTGGTATACGGCGGAGCGGAGATGTCCCTGCCAGAAAAAAAAACAAAAACCTGTGTGCTAGGCTATTTTTGTTCGCGTAAAAAGTAATTTATTTTAACGTGATGTTATTATTATTTTAGGAAGTTGCTATTTTTGATTTAAGCTTTCAAATTAGCACCTTGTCTGGGCTAAATTATATAACTGTATGCAACCAAATCATCAACAAATTTAAGTTGGCAAGATTAATAGAAATTTAATTAAAGGAGTAATTCAGATGAAAGCTATTGGCAAATCACAAACTCAGCAATATTTTACAATTTGATCTGCAAACAACTTAATATCATGTCTTATTATGCATAAAATGTGCTAATCTTTTAGTTTAGACCTTGGCAAGCCTGTTCTGAAATGCATAGAATTCTAGTATTAGTTTAGCAGTTCAATTTCATTCTCAAATGTTAATGCTCCTGGTTTCGTAAAGACAAAATTCTAGTAATGAAAACTCAAACTGCAAATCTAATCACAATCACAATTTATGTATTAAAACAAAACAAAAAACTCAATTATTTAGCCCAAGAATAGACCACTAATTATTTAAAGGTGCTATATTACACAAAATTGATTCATGTAAGCTTTAAGACATGTTAGAATGTTGTTACCTCCTCAAAAACATACCTGCAGTTGTGTTTTGTTTCATTCACACGTACTTGACTAATCCTTCATCATTATTCTGTTATCTCACAAAGCTGCAATGTCATGTGTTGGTAGTTTTCAAATTAACAGTTACTTTTTTACTTTTAGTTCAGTAGAGATTAACAATCAATCCAAATTATTCTGAAGGTGTATGACGTTTAAAAACACAGTGCAGCACTTCTTGTATTGCCGCATGACACCACAAGTTGGAACAGGGTGTTTTCTGTTTGAGAGAAGAACTCCTAAGTCTGCAGGGTTTTTGTGTTCAAAAATATAACGTAATATAGGTACTTTAAGTTTAGGTGGTGAGATCTGAATTCTATGGGCAAAGTAAGGTAAACATATTTAACACTTGAAACATTGGATAATGAGTAGTACCTGTTCCAATGAAGAGCATATTGTACGCCCGCTGGTCCAGAGCATTGACCCGGTCCACTGCCAGTTTGGTGAAGTTAACTCCCTTTGTGAGCAGTAGGGGGCGTGCTAGAGCCTTATCCTCCATAAGTGGGTGCTTCTTGGCAAAGTTGAGCGTAGCGTCTGGCAGCTGCAGTGAACTGTTGAAGCCATTCTCCCGGTCTGAGTTTGTGATACACTATAAACACAGAGTAGAAGGAGAGTGACAAGGCTGTTAAAAATGCATGAATGGAGGTAGATAGCAGGAGCAGTTTGGGCATTGACAAAGATCATTGGCTTTTGGATTGGTTCCCCTCATCACCCCTTCCTGCTTTTCACCACTCACTCTAACTTTGGTTTGTTTAAGTTTGTTTTTTTTCTCTCAACAATGAATGACATGGTAGTTAAAAATGAATGGAAGATAGTATAAGACAGGAATGAAAAGAGTTTGAAGAACTTGGACGCACTCTGGCAACTTTAGTTTGATCTATGTCCGCCTCCAACTTGTTTCCATGGAAATATTACAGTTTGCTTGAAATATTTTAAAGTATAACATTAAAGGTCCCATTATTCAGAGCTTTAAGACATGTTATAATGTTGTTACCTCCTCAAAAACACATGGAATTGTGTTTTGTTTCATTCACACATGTTTAAGAAATACTTTATTATTAGTCCGTCAACACCTTCAAACCTGAAAATGCTTGGTTCCACCATAAGATGCCAGAGGTAGTTTTACAAGTTAACAGCTACTTTTTTAATTTAGTAGACATGGGCAATTGCTGAAATCATCCAGATGATTCTAGTGAAGGCGTATGGAGTTTAAAAACACAAAGGAGCACTTCTTGTATTACTACATGACATCATAAGGTGGAAAAGAGTGTTTTTTTGTTTGAGAGAAGAACTCAGCCTCCGTTGGTGTGAATGAAACAAAAAACAACTCCAGGTGTGTTTTTGATGAGGAAAGATTATAACACAGATCAGGAAATAGCTTAATTTAGACCCTTTAAAGTATTTATTTGAAGGGAAAATGTAAAAACAATAAAAGTACAGATGTTGCACAGCAGATTATAGCTAAATATCTAGTTTCCATCTGACTTTCTTGTCTCCATGGAAATAGCTATGTTTAACACCATGCTGTGATATGTTATAGAGAAAACGATTCCCATAGAGACATTACATAGTGAAGAAAAGTTACATAGCACGCCTTTAACGCCACAATATTCTATGACTCATTTCATTTCTTGGATGGCATTGAATAAAGACATGACTGTTAAAATAAAAAGGAGCCAGGACACAGCTGGGCTTTGGCTGAGATCAGTGACTTTAGTTTGATTCCTCCCACCACCTCTACCTGCTGCTCTCTCTCTCTCTCTCTCCATCCCTTGCTTTCTCTCTTTCCTGTCTCTTTTTTCTTTGCATTTTGGATCCGGGCTTTTTGTTTGGTGCCAACTTCAATTGTTCCCCACCTCTAACACTTCCCTGTGCCACCCATTGCCGGTTGTCTTTGCCAAATCCTGCCTCCTGATGCACGGCAGCGCAGGTGCATGCAAATCTAAAATGGTAATCTTGCACAATTAGAAAAGCATTTTCATTTTGTCCTCGTTCAGTCGAGAGGCAGATTACACTGTGAATTTTAGAGAGCGCAACTTTACTTTGGAGTGCTTTGGGACTTGTTTGAAAAATCATAATACAAACTAGTCTGAAAAGAAATTATTAGTTGATGATACATTCGAGCAACTGTGCCCTACTTCTACAGTACTATACACATAACATTTAATGGATTTACAGCTAAAGCAGAGACTCTGAAATGGTGGGTTTTGAGAGAAACTAGGTCAAGAGATGTTTCAATGCGCAAAGAGAAAAGTTTTGTTCAGGGAGGGCATCTGGTTTAATTCCTATGATAAAAATGTCTCAATCACTACACATCGAGGTTCCATGGGGGTTTGCAAATTAAGACATTAAAATATGGAAAATATGCATCCACAACAAATTGTATCATCTCTCAGAAAACTCTTTAGAAAAATGCCTGCAAAAAATATTCAATTTAGCCCATAATAACCTAATTATATCAGCAGGGAACCACGTATTTATGACGTTTTACATGCCTATTTTTTTCTCCATGAACGCTGCTACATTACTGTTAATCATATATTCAGTTCATCATAAAGCATAAAAAATAAGAAAATAATAAGATGAGGTACCGCTTTATAATATCTGCACATTATTTAGCCTTAAAGGTGCACTATGTTAGTCAGGCTGGTGCCACCTAGTGTCTCTGCTCAATTTAATTTCTCTCCAGCTACTACGTCAGGAATCAGAATACACTAGACAGTTTGCAAGAACCCCAGAAGTTGTAGACCGCGCACCGGCCAATCAGTGAAGAGCTGAACCAACCTAAGTTGCGATAGCTGCATACGCTATCCTCTTTTGGACTTCCTTTGTCAAATACAAACTTCTCATTTTTAATTGCACCTTTAATTCACAAGTTCACCAGAAATGACAATGATCCTTGAGCAAACAAATCCTAATGCTGCGAGGTCAGACGATTTCTACAACGTGAAACCGGTTGATGAGCACTACGTAACATTTCTGGGGAAGCCCTCTTCATACTTGTCTCCAATTTATGTTATTGCTTTGCCTGGAATATTCCACAGTGTGGCATTATATAATGTCTATCTTGCAATCAGTCAATTATGGGTGTTCATATTGTTTAAACATGATTTCTTAGTGTGAGAAGAGTTGTCCCTCCACAGATTCTGACCTAGTAAAGTCATCTGCTTGTCTTCATGGAGTGAATTTAATGCCACAGTGTAGAACATTCCAGAGACAATTCACAATCTCCATGGAGACAAGTAGCCTAATAAAGCGTACTTAATTCATCATGAGCAAATATTTTATTAAGAATTATTCAGGCCAGGGTTAGGAGTCATGGTTAGGGTATAAATGAAGTAGTTACTAAGCCTGAGTCAATCTTACCACTATTGTTCACTGTGATTTCTTTGAAGTCTTTGCTCATGTTTTATTAAAGGGTCATTATTACTCTGTTTTTGATCTATGTTACAAAGCTGTTTCCTCATCAAAAACATACCCAGTGTTACATTTTGTTTCATTCACTCAAGTTTAACACAAAAAACCCTGCACATTTAAGCTGCGTTCTTCTCTCAAACAGAAAACACTCTGTGATGTCATGTAATAACACAGGAAGTGCTCCATACACCTTGACTACAATCATTTGGATAATTCTAGCCTTAGACATGCCAATCTCTACTGCATTTAGGTTAAAAGGTAGCTGTTGACTTTAAAACTACTTCTTCATGACATCACAAAGTGGAATAGAACATTTTGAGCTTTGGAGATGTAGACAGACTAATAATAAAGTGTTACTCAAACATGTATAAATAAAACAAAACATAACTCCGGGTATGTTTTGAGGAAGCAACAACATTCTAAAGAGTAAATTTTACGTAATATATGCCCTTTAAAGCAAAAAAAATAAAATAAAAATAAAACAAAACAATAGAAAAAATAGAAAGAATAGTTATAATGTGTTTCAGCATCTCACCGATCCAGGACGTGGGTTGGGTACAGCACCAGTGTAGCGCCCCCACCTCTGCGACGCCTCCCTGTATTCCTTATAAGACCCTTCGAAAACCTTCTTCACATCATTAATCTGATACTGGCACACGGCGGACACATCCACATCACCCCTGCGGCAAGAAAACAAGGCGTATTAGTCATTTGAATGGTTATATAATATCACTGTACATCCACGCATATGGTACACATGCTAAATTACGCATCACATATGAATTCTCAAAGGCTCGGGGCTGTTCACTTATCCTCTCTGATGACATGGGCTCTTGCAGGATGCTGATACAAATCTATTATAGCCACAAATCAGGAAATTCACTTTGATTTAATGGCTACTTTGGGAGCTGGAGAGGTTTTTTCAAGTAGGAGTGAAATTAAGTATTGATGTGTGACTCAAAGGCGTGATTAAGCCACATACTTTTTAGCTTTTAGCAGTGGAATAAATTCAATAAAAACTTGCTCCAAGGAAAGACATGTTATTTTTTAATTACTGACTAAGTAAACACTAAATGGCTTGAGAAATGACATTGGACCCCGAGTTTCAGATGAAGAGTCACTATGCATTTACTGTGACTGGCGGTTTAAATGTTATATTTGAATATTTCTGTTTAAAATTCTGTTTAAGTTACTCCTCAAGATATCGGCTATTTTCCTTTTATGCATATGTCTCAACTTGTATTTTTAAATCAAACTACTGAATTTCAAACAGCTCTTAGATTTAACTTCAAGGCGCTTTATGTAACTTTTCTGGTGGAGGGTCTGTCACTTCAGTCTCCACAGTATGGAATTAAACCGTATAGAGCCATGGAAGCATGTACTAGTAGTGTTATGGATCAGATCTGTGGAGAGGCGAACCGACTCAAAGTAAAGGAGTCAGTTAGGTCAAGGCTAACAGACTTTAACTACATAAACTAAAATGACGTACACGCTTGGAGATATGTAATACTTTTTAAAAATAAAATCTGAAATAAAATAAAAAAAACATGAAATGTATAAATATTTAACGACCCACGCTTGAGATCAAAACTAATGAAATTATTTGTTTACATGTGTTGATGCTTTAAATTCACTTCTTGACGCGATAAAATGTCAATTTGTCTCCGAGCAGTAAGCATACACAGAAAAGGTCGAGTCTACTCATTTATACAGCTCGTCTTCATTCGTGGAAAGCTCTTTACAGAAAACATTACTGATCTTAGCTGTTTCATAAGACTCACGTCAAAAGGGACAGGGACAGCGCCATGCCGGGTTTAAAGTCACTCTATTCAGCAGGATTATTGCTTCGACTGCCACCATCATTTACATAATGTCCAATTATCTTAATGCGATCTCTATCAAAGCCCGGAGGTTTTAAGGAGTCCCCGGTGAGTCGTGAGGAGAAAAGACAGGGTTTTAAAGAAGACTATGGGAACTGTGACTGGAGAAACAGGTTCAAAGCAGCTTGACTTTAGTGATGTGATATCTGAGAGAGGAGCACAATGGACTCACATCAAAGGGCATCGCCTCCAGACACTGAACTTTTAAAACCGAAAACCTTACCAACCTTACACCTGGTACTAAACCATGTGTCCTTACTGAGAACATGTTCACTTCAACAGAAAATTTAAAGATGTGCTGAGTAACTTTTCTGGTGGAATGTCCGTCAAATGATTTTCTCTGTGGAGATGTTATTGCTTTGTCTGGAATGTTTCACAGGATGGCCTTAATCCTTCAGGGAGACCAAACTAGGCCAAGTTACAAGTCAGATCTGTAGAGAGGAAACCTGCTCACAGATAGAGCACCTGTTTTTCCAGGTTTTCCAGAAGGCACAAGATGCTGCAAAAGTAGCGCCGCATCTTCACTTTTTATTCCACGTTTAAAGGGTAACGCAAAAGTGTGTGGAATTCAACTGGGTATGCAAACAATGTCACCGTCTAAACAAAAGGCACTTCCGATAAAATATTTTGTCGTTTTTACCAGCAAGCGTTCTAGTGTAAACAGGCCCTTATTTCTGGGTTTGGTTTAGTCCCTCTTTATTATGGCTTGGTGATGACAAAAATATCAGTCACAATTTTTCCCTCATATCTATGGCAAGTTTAGATTTGATTTAATTTTGTCAAATGAAAACAAATAAAAATGGTTTTCGGTATTAATTTTCTGAAGTATATCAAACATGCATTTAAGATCCAAACAGACTGACAATTAGAAAAGACTCATTCATAATGTGATATTGACATTATCCAAATAAAAAGCAGCCTTGCAAACCTAATGTGCTCAGTTCAAAGAGATTTTTCAGTGATTAAGGTGCTAAGGCCAATCTATTCAGCGTGCATTCATCCAGGTGTCCTTTAGAAACAGTTATAATCAAGTGCACAGAGCTAAGTGCTACATTCAAATGAATACAAGGCTGTGATATTTGAAAGACCTTATGTAGGCAGTCTGGCTCCGTCATTTGAGCTGTCATATTTTCTAAACTGCATTTTAGTGAACAGAATCGTGTATGGACATGTTACAAAAGAGATTCTAGAAACATGTTTAATTGTAAGTAGCAATACGGTAGTAATAATTGTAGTGACAGTAGAAGCAGCAGGAAGATAGTAGAGGTAGAAGTACATGCATTAGGCCTATAATGGAAGTAATAGTAGTTGTAGTAGTAGTAGCAGTACTAGTGGTAATGGTAATAGAAGTAGTAGTAGTAGTAGTAGTAGTAGTAGTAGTAGCAGTAGTAGAAGAAGAAGAAGAAGAAGAAGAAGTAGTAGAAGGAGTAGAAGTAGAAAATACATTCAGATTTAGTAAATCTACTCAAATAAAAATGTTGAGGCCTACTTCGGAAGTGTCTCAATAATATTTGTATTATACACTTTATTGAGTAGTAGTAGCAGAAGGAGCAGTTGTAGTAGTAGTATAAGTAGTAGTACCAACAGCAGCAGCAGCACTAGTGGTAAAAGTGGTAGTAGTAGTAGTAGTAGTAGTAGTAGTAGTAGTAGTAATAGTACTAGATTACGTTAGGTTTTGTACATCTATTAAATGTTCAGGTCTACTCAGGAAGTGTCTCAATAATATTTGTATCATATATTCTAGCAAGTAGCAGTAGAAATAGTAGTACTAGGAGAGATGGTAATAGAAATAGTAATAGTAGAAGTAGTAGTAGTAGAAAATACATTCAGGCTTAGTTATTCTACTCAAATAAAACGCAGAGGAGGTCTGCTTAGAAAGAATTAGCAGCATCTGATTATTATCTATTATATCAATGCTCACACTCTGGGGAAGGTGGGTCAAGTGCCTTGCCAAAAGACACATATCAAAACATCAATGCTACATTCACTGACCATTGTGCATGGAAGATGCCGTAGAAAGCGGTCCCTCTCCAGTCCTGTCCCGGTAAAGTGAAGACTGCGCGGAGATTGTTGAAGGACACGTGGCGTTCAGGCAGAGAGCATTCCAGACGGGCTTTCTGAAACGTGGTCCACTTCTTCTGCAGAGTCCTGGTTCCACCCAAGTCCCCCTGCAAACACAGAGCAGATGATCTTTAGATGAAACGTGTGGAAAATATGCAATTATACGAGACATAGTTGTGGGTCTAGAGGGTCTAATCAAAATGAAAGCTCTTAAGGGCTACTCAGTGTGAAGCAGCTCTCTTAGACATAACACTTCACAAGATGCATGGTTTAGATGAGTTGTTTATGATTAATCTGCATATGTTGGGATGGAAAATGCAGTAAAACAGTATTTTTATATTTTAAGTACTTTTGAGGAGTCTACTTTTATAACAAAAATATAGATAAAGTCAGTTATTAATGTGAATATTTTGAACTGTAATAGTAAGAGTTATTGTAGTAGCAACAGTTGTATAGTATTACACATAGTAGTTGGGCTATAATTAATCTGCATATGTTGAGATGGAAAATGCAGTATTTTACAGTGTAACAGTAAATAACAGTATTTTTAATTTTACAAGTACTTTTAAGTAGTTTACCTTTATTGATTTTATGTAATTTATTTATAAGAAAAGTATAGATAGAAAGTCAATAAGTTGGAATATAAAGGTACAATGAGTAACTTTTCTTGGGACAAACTACAATCTGCATATTGTCATAGTTATAGTTTTGTCTGAAATGCTCCACAGTATAGCATAATTTACTTCCAAGTAGACAAGACAACCAAGATACAGGTCAGATCTGTGGAGAGGTTAGAGCAAGAGCACGTTTTTAGGTGTTTTTGAGCAACAAAACACCTGTACTTGAAAACATACAAAATGGTTTAAAGTTTAATGCCATATTGCTGAATATTCCAGGCAAAACAATAACATCTCCATAGAGACAAGGAGCAGGTATAATGCTCCCCAACAAAAATGTTACATAGTGAACCTTTAATTTTGTAATGTAACTGAATATAGTGAAAAACACAAAACACTATTAATAATCTGTCTGATCCTTCCTATTAACACTTACTAATTGAATAGATCTATATGTAGAACACTGCATGTGTATATGATATATTTTCACTCCATATATTTCCTGTGCATTGCTTTGGTGCAGAGTGCTTGGGAGTGTGTTAAATATTACATTCTCACAGGCTCAGCTGCTATTACTGCTCTATGGTGTAATATTAGCCCTGGATTGTGTGCCTGTGAAGATAACATGTGTGCTGTGCTGGTTCAGAGTTGGCACTGCAGTCCTGTTTCTGCAAAGCCTCTTAAGGATCATTTACACTTAATATGTTTAACACTAATGCTCAAATCTGGGATAATGATTATAATACATATATTTAAGGAAGGAATTATCAGCACTGCATTCACATTTCTTTCATTCTGAAAATAAAACACAGTTGTATTTTTTATTTTTTTGGTTTTGGAGGTGTAAAGTACCTCAAAATGAATGATAATGAATCAGTTATTAATGGGAGTATAGTAATATTAAAGTGTCACAGTAAAAGCTATTAAAATGGCTACAGTAATGGTTGATAGAAGTAGTAGTAATAGTAGTAGTCATAGTAGTAGCAGATATTACTGTAGTAGTAATATTATAGAAAGTATAGTATATATTAGAAACAGTATCCATAATAATAGTGAACAGTACTGGTAGTAGCAGTAGTAGCAGTAGTACTAGCAGTAGTAGTAGTAATAGTAGTAGTGATTTTGCACAGTAATGGCATCGGCACTAGTTGGTATATAAATGCATATACAGTACATGTAATACTAGTGTGACAACACAGTAGTAGAAATAGCAGTAGTACTAGTAGAAAAATGGTTGACAGAAGAAGAAGTAAGTAGTAGTAGTCATAGTTGTAGTGGCTATAGCGGTAATAGTAATATTATTGAAAATCTAGTATATATAAGAAACAGTATCCATAATAATAGTGGCTAGTAGAGGTAGTGGTAGCAGTAGTAGTAGCAGTAGCAGTAGCAGTAGTAGTAGCAGTAGCAGTAGCAGTAGTAGTAGTTGCACAGTAATGGCATCATCACTAGCTGACATATAAATGCATATACAGTAGAAGTAATACTAGTGCGACAACATAGTAGTAGAAATATTAGTAGTATAAGTAGTACTACTAATAAAATGTTTCCAAAGGTAAACTCAAAGACTAGGTTTGGGGAAGAAGAAGTAAACCTGGAACACCCCTCAGTGATTTATGCCTTAAATTTAATATTTTTGGAGGATATTTTTCCAAGCAATACTATTTTGAATTATATATACAGCTCTCTACCTCAAGTAATAATAAATAGCATTTTTACGACGTAATAAATTTGGCTTGTACATCTTATTGGCCTCAGTGATCACATAGCAACATATTAAAAGAGTGGGAATGGCCTCAGGAGTGGTTCAGTCTGCAGGGTGCATTGAATTATTCATGGCTCTGGTGCAGATCATGTTTGAGCATCTGGCCCTCATTTCATTCACAGTCTTTATTGTTGATCACAGTCACGACCATAAATGGCACTTCCTGTAAACTCATTAAACTTGTCTCATCAGAACTGCCGCAGGACTGTCACGTATTTTAAAGGTTACTGACATGACATGGGCGCACATGAAGAAGTGATAGGAGGAGCTCTGGAGGGGCACTATTAAACCTGCCAGATAGGACAATAGATAGACAGATTGACTAAACTGATTCCATGTACACAAAATCTAATTATTATCATATTTCTGGAGTCATCAGATTAGTAGAATAACATGGACACAGCGAAATCTGAGGTGAGTAATCTGAGAAACCATGATTAGAAAGAAATCAGATTATGAGATTTTGTTGTTTACATGGCATTTTAATAATCGGACAACTCCTATTCAGATTAAGTGAATTTTACTTGAAATATCATAGAAGCTAAAAGTACTATTTACTACCATCACTAGTGCAAAGGGCTACTCATAATGCACTTACAGTTCTTTATAAAATCTTTTACAATGTTTTATTTTTATAATATACGACAATATAAGAAGAAAAAATATAAAGCTACTTGAATTCCAAATTGTCAGATCATGTGAAATTGTGGATTGTCACTTGGAAAAGCTCATAATGTACTTCACTATTTTGAAATTGGTGAATAATTACAACATACTAAACAAATATAAAGAGAATACGTGTACATGAATCAAGAATAAATGTGCTATCAATAATCATAATTACCCTCTTTTAGCAAGGATGTGTATTCGCTTTAAAGTTTTTGCAAACTTTTGAAAAAAAAACAAAAAAAAACAACACAGGCATTTGCTGAATTTGCACACTCTCACCAATGCATTTAATTATTTCTGTGGTTTGTAGAAAATCAAAGACAATACTGCCTTTTGCCGGGTAATGCCTATTTTCAATTTGTTAAACGCAAACAGAAACAAAATCCAAGATAGATCTGCGAAAAGCTGTTGAATCTGACCTGAAATAATGTGGTATTAAAATTCATCATGTTTTTCTTCTTTTGGCTCTTGTTGCATAGATTTCTTTTGTTAAATATGTAACAGTGAGCAGTACCAGTGTGATCCTTATATGGCTGTACGAAGGGAAATGCTGAAGCACATTATGAGACAGATGCCAAAACAGCTGGAGAGAAGAATAACAGATGAGGACCAGCCAAGACTCTGTGATTGTAGATTCAATGTGTGCCAAATGCATGTTGGACTGAACAATAGCTACTGTACGAAGCGATGCTACACTTTATGCTTTGTCTCGTGTCTTTAATGCTGGCATATCTTAAATCATGATTTAACAATGTGCTGTATACGTTTTCTGGTCAAGGGTCCATCGCCAGCTTCGCTCCATGGAGATGTTGCCTGGAATGATCCACAGTATGGCATTACACTTGTTTATCTCTACAAAGACAGAATGCAAGTTTTATCAGCTAAGATTTGGTATATAAATGTAAGTAGCTATTATAAAGTTGCTATATTTTTCTGATTGAGACACGATTAAGAGTACTTTCAACTGGTCATATATTTCCCTTATTGTCCTGCAAAAGTCAACTTCAGAAACATGCAGTATTACACAGTTGGACTTTTGTAATGACACATGTAATGAGAGGAGAACAGCTTGCGTCTCATATATCACCTTGCAGACTCGAGCGACACGGGCCACTGTGAGCTCTGTGTCACAGTCCAGCTCCAGAGCGCGTTCACTGAAGAAGAAGTAAATCTTGTCATCGTCTCCATCTTTACTGCCCAGGCCTTCTCTGACCAGCGCCGAGCCCACGAAGTCTGGCTCTGAAAAACATACACACACATTATGGCCTCTGTGCTACATCTGTGCTTTCAAATCAGTAAAGTTGTGCTTGAATAAATGCTGTGGTCTTTAGAAGAATAGCTGTATAAAGAACTGTATGTAATTTTTTTATTTTAAATTTCATAAACTTGGCCTATATGTGTCCCCAGATACAAGGTGAATATGTTCAAATCAAATAAAGCTTTTAATGACAACTAGCATAATCCTGATGTATTCTTTATTACAAAAACTTTGTACATGATGGCCAAGTTGTTCATGTTATACTTTGGTGCTTTGGTGATAAAGATGATTATCCAATCAGGAAGCAGATTGAGCCTCATATGAGATAAGCTAAACCTAAAAGGACTCTCTCAGAGCAGAAGGGTCACTACTTGAACCCCAGCCCCTTTGCTAGTGTAGCCTGTGCAGCCAGTTTGCACTGAAATTACCAGAAGGACTTGGAACAGTATAAACAATACTATTACAGAGATTAGTAGCAAGAAAAAGTAGATTTAGTGTTTAGTTCTTCTTCAGCTGAATCAATTTACGTAATTAGAGGGAAAATTAATCTTTCTTTAGCTTCTGTCATTTTTACTTATTCCGATAAAAAATATATATGACAGTTGGCAAATTAAAAAAATGTAAATGCATACATACCATAACAATAATATAATACATAAATTATATTTTTAATTCATTTTACTTGAGTCATTTGAGGGACACAGTAACACTGTTTGGAAGTTACAACATTTGTACTAGTACATCTTTTAATCACCTGCATGTAACTATTGACAATTGAATCAAATCAAAACATAAATAATCATCATAAAATTTATAAAAAGAGAAAAAGTTATTAAATGAGAGAGAAGAGTGCAAAATGAAAACCTTTCAGTCATATGCACAGCTAAACAAAACTGAGCCTGGATTTAAACAGAGTCAAAGTAGAGGCCTGTCTCACATGTTCAGGAAGACTGTTCGGGTTTTAGCTGCGTGAATCTGAAGCGCTGACTCCCCGTGTTTACTCCTAACTCTGGGCACCAGCAGAAGGCCGGTCCCTAAGGTCCTCTGATTGTGAGATGGTTCATATGGCACATATGAACCATGTCAGAAATGTACTTTGGTGCCAGGCCATGGAGAGACTTGTACACTAGCAGAGTCACTTTAAAGTCTATTCTCTGAGCCACAGGAAGCCAGTGCAAAGAGGACAGGACTTATGTGCTTATACTTCCTAGTTTGAGTCAGGACCCAAGCTGCAACATTCTGGATGTACTGCAGCTGTCTTACAGCTCATTTGGAGAGGACAGTGAGAAGGCTATTACAGTAGTCTAACCTACTGGAGACAAAAGCATGGATAAGTCTTTCTAAGTCTGCTGCTATGATTTTTGCTACGTTTTTAGATGGTAAAATGCTGCAGATGTTATTGATTTGATGTGGCTGTTAAGGTATGAGTCTGAGTCCGTTATTACCCCAAGATTTCTGCCTGATTTGACGTTTTAGAGCAAGAGACGGGAGGTGACTCCTGACACTGTCTCTTTGTTTCTGTGGGCTAAAGACTGTGACTTCTGTCTTGTCTGAGTTTAGTTGAAGAAAGATGTTTTGCATCCACACTAGAGCATGGAAACTAATTCGAAATCTGACAGACCTTACATGCCTATTAATTAATTAATTCATGCCTATTGGGCTGAGGACGGATACGATCACTGCTCTGTCAGACACATGCCAGGTTTGGACAGAAAAATTTGGTCCGACCCACACTCTAATCCACACACTGATCTGTTGGATGCAGTGTCATAGTGAGTCCACTGGTCCATAGTCCTCTGCTCCCAGTGAGACGTACTGTAGAGCTGAGTGTCGTCTGCATAGTTTTGGTAGGACACATTGTTTCTGCATATTAACTGGCCTGTAGGGGGCAGCATGTAGAGATTGAACAAAAGGGGGCCCAGGATCGACCCCTGGGGCACCCCACAGGTCAGATCCATGTGATCTGAGACAGAGATTCCAATTTCAACAAAGTACTTCCTGTCTTCTGGATAGGACTTGAATCACTTTACTGCAGTACCAGAGATGCCCACCCAGTCATCTAGTCTCTGTAAGAGGCTACAATGATCGACAGTGTCAAAAGCAGCACTCAGATCTAACTGGATCAACACTGAAACTTTGCATGCATCAGGCGGATGTCATTTGTCGCCATGATAAGAGCAGTCTCAGTGCTCTGGTGGGCTTGAAAACATGACTGGAAAACATCAAAGGAGTTGTTCATTTGGAGAAAGTTCGTAAGATGTTGGTAAACAGCTTTTTCAAGGACGTTGCCAAAAAACAGCAGATTTGAGATGGGTCAGAAATTGTTCAGTACTGTGGCATCAAGACTGCTCTTCTTTAGGAGAGGCTTTAAGACCTCAAAGCTCTTCGGAATGTTCCAGATTGAAGTGACATGCTAACTGTGAGCATGTAGATGAACTCAGACTTCTGACAATCTCGAAGACAGTTTTGTCAGTTACAGATGCAAAGTGACTCATAAGTGTCTCTGTGGCTGCATGCTTGTTATTTGCGTTGTGGATGGCATTTTTGGTGCCCTGAACCTTATCATTAAAAAATACTGCAAACTTATTGCACTAATGTCAGTGGAGCTGAAGCGTTTGTTAATCTGTTCACTGTTGCAAACAGGACATAAAAGCTGTTACTGCAATTTCCAATAATGTCTGAAAAGTACCTCTCTCTTGTTCTGTGGTTGTACATATGCATCTTTTCTTTGTAAATCTCATAATGAACCTGGAGGTTTGACTTACGCCATTTCCACTCAGCCCTCTGGCAGAAATATTCTTGCTCAGAAATTCCATTTCCGTTATTCTATTATCTACTTAGAGATTGGATGAAATTTTTTACTTCTATTTGAGCATTATCTTCAACCTGGCTATAATTTCCACCACTTCCCCTGTATCTACCCCTTTATTCTATATTACCCGCAAAAGTTGATATGTTCAGGCATACATCACACTGCATAAAACACAGCACTGGCCTGGAGCTCTTTCACACCACTCTCTGCAGATACAAACTAACAGTCTCTTCTCACCTCTTCCATATTTCCTCCACTCTATCTATCTCTCCTCATATTACCCAAGCCCTGATCTGTCTCACTGGGACTGCCTAATAATAATGGCCCATTTGAGATCCACACCTTCTTCATCCTCCTCTCGTCTTTCTCAATCCTGAGTTCTCATTAAAGCAAAGTGTGAGATTTAGAAAAAAATATGCAGTTTTTGGGATGGATTTTAATGGATTTGGAGGATTTTGGAGAATATATGATTTCATGGACAGGCTGTACTTTTAGAGATAAAAATGTCTTTCAACACCGTCTTTAAAACGTTCAATTTAAACTGGAAAATTGAGTTAACAAGAAGAATTATGTGACTCATTGTGGCTATATATATGTTACAGTTCATTTTACCAATAACTCGAAGACTGTATGCGCACTGTATAAGCAGGTCTTGAGCGAAGCGATATCTCAGAATGAAACATAATTATAATTTTTTGCTCAATGAAAGAAGCATTAAGCTCTAAATTTTAAGAGGTTAACCATGCCTTGGCAGAAATACTACTAAACTAATATTACACTATTTCCATTAACAAATCACAAGTCATTTTTACGAAATATGATGGGTTTAACCATAAACTAGGTCAACAAATCTGCAATCTGACAAATGGCAAATTCCACCATAGGATTCTGACCTGTTCGTCCAGCTCAATGTTAAAGTATAAAGATTCTATAATGTTATAATGTCAAGTGAACCTAACCTATAACACATCTTCCATCCACACTGCTTCAAATGTGTCTCTCCTTCTTTTGTCCTTCTTGGATTAAAGTGAATTAGTTTGCATAGTGCTGCACCCAGACAGTCTGGAGCACCCATGCTGCTGACTGGACAGCACCAAGGCCTGCCTAGAAAGCACGATTTAACCCCAATTTTGTATGAAACCTGCCTACACTTCATTTTATCCCTGCGTGAGGTGAGTAGGCGCTTCTTTGTGGGTCTACTTTTTGATACCAGCCTTGTACTGTCATGAATAATAATTTGGCTTATCACTCAGTTTATGCTGTGTATCTCTGTTTTCTCATTTCACCTCAATTTCCCAATTATTCACCTATCACAATTTCAGTTTAGAGCAGTCTGTAAACATTTCACATTTCTGATTTAATAAATATAATAATACAGCATTTATTAAAGGTGTGTTATACGCCACACCACTTGCTAGTCTCCATGGAAATGTTACAGTGCTCCCAGTATTACACTTATTAATAGCATTCATTTCATAAAGGATATTTTTATTGTTTAGAAATGTCTATCCAATCTATCACATGCAGGCAAATTACCCACATGGAAAAGATCCATGGTGCACCTTAAGCTTATTTTCTTTTGAGAAGGCATGGTGGTGACATTTCCTACCATTTTGAGAAACATAATCATCATTTTTTGCTCAATGAAAGAAGCATTAACCTCTAAATTATAAGAGGTTAACCATGCCTAGGCAGAAGTACTCCACTATTTCCACTAACAATTTAAACATTTATTTTTATTGTTTTTATTTCTGTACACTGATAACTCTTTCTTTGTTAATTAAAAAAGTCCGGCACTGTAATATGGCCTTCTTCCCAAATGCCCCTCACTCTCTCAATCTCTCTCTCCCTCTTTCTGTCTCTCTTTCTCCCTCTCTCTCCATCCAAAAAAGATAACGATCCTTCGTTTTACCCGTGCACCACAATTCATTTCCTCATGTCTCAGTTCTGCTCTTATGTCTGTGCATGTTTTTCATTTTTATATTTTAATGAAATTGCTTTAAAAGAAGCCAGCCCTGTTATCACCCCTAATGTGATTTCTATTATTTGAGAACATACTTAATCTTACTCTGGCATGTCTGTCGAGGTGAAAATTGAAACTCAAATTAATGAATTCTGGGCAGTCAATTATGGTGAATTCCCACATATAAAAGCATGTTGTGAACTGTCAAGGTCTGGCTATTAATTTGCCAACAGGTCAAAAAGGAGTTACTGGAACATTTTTACAATATGGACATCAAAATGCACCCTTTTAGAAGATGACATTGTGCATATTTGGCAACAACAAAGCAGTGAAAATGTAAAATTATCTAAATTATTCTGATAGTTTGAAAATTGAAAAGTAAAATTTTGTATTGGTGATAGCTGTGGTCAGTATTAACATAGGGCATAGCTAACATGTGTAACTGTGAATGCTAATGCACTCTGGGATATGGAGCAACAGAAGGCTAGAGACAGTCCGGCCGTTATGTCCAGCTACAACCCATGTGGCAATGTTTTGGGACTTATTTAGTTTTGCTAATTGGCTGAACAGATTAAGCATGAGGGTAGATTTTACAAGTAGTTGGGAAAATTGCATACTACATAGTTTGGAAGCTTGTTGGTCCAGAAACAATTTATACAAAGATATTAGGCAGTCCCTATCACAAATAATTTGAGTTGCCTTTACCATATCAACTACTGCAAATACACTTATGCAGAATACATATACTGTGATATTCAGGTTAAGTTTTCAGTATGGTAAAAGAACACAACATACAGGCTTAAACAAAATACAACTGTAACCCAGTAATCTAATGTGTATCTTATGTCCTAATTTGACCCATAATATTTCTGCTTTGTGCTCATTAATGGCTAAAGACCATCCCAGTAATGAAGAGTTGTTTTTTCCATCAAGGGCCACATATGGAAATATAATTCAAAGCAAAGGGCCGCAGAATGGGGGTAAATACTGAAAGTCAATCAGATGGGTGCATTTAACAAAGCTATGACAAAGCTGTTGTACTTTTAATAAGACTGTATCATAACACACTGCAATATTGTTGAGGTTAGAGGGGTAGAGAGACTTAAATTTGGAATTAACACCACTGATCTAAACTATGTCACTTTCCGCAAGACAAGATGAGATACGAGACTGGGTCCACAAGAACTAGACAAGACAAGATTTTCACGTAATTCCTAATATATACATTTCACGGTTCAGTTTTCAATTTTGGCCTCACAATTTTGTTATTTATTTCATATCATAGTTTTGTTTCCATTCTAGTACTGCTTTTTGGAACTATAAGAGATGTAACTCACCAACATATAACCCTTTTTTCCAATCTAAATGTAAACACATGGAAAAAAATCTCACAAGAAAATTTTTCTCTTGTGTGCACGATCTTGTGGCAATTTTGTCTCGCAAGATCTTATAGCATGTGATCTTGTAGCATCCCTAAAGTATAATACAGTAGTTTCATTCCCAACAACATGCTTTTACTCTAAGCTGAGTATTGTATTGTATTTTACAGTCCTCTTACTCGAGTAAAAGTTTTGGTCACTCCTTCCAATTTAGTACATCTACAAGTGACAAAACAAATGAGTGTTTCCCGTACTACTCCTTCGAATATGATTTAGTTTTTGTCATTATTGTGATATTTGTGGTCCTTTGAAAATACCAGATTTTGAGCATTCCTTATTGTTTTGTCATTCTTATTAAATGAACTTCAAACAATCTTTTATTTTTTGTTACGTCCAGGCAGAAAATTATTACATTTAGTGACATTTTAGAAAATATTAGCTGTCTCGAATTGTGTTGAGTTGTATGTCTATGCAAAAACATTTGTGGTCGGTGTCTCTGCTCCCCAATTTAACAGTATGCTTACCACTGTAGGGAATACATTAGCTTTCCAAAACAGTATCACATTTACATAAAAATAAACCCATCACTGACTTCCTGTTGCAATTCTAAATCTGTTCGTATTGCTCTATTTGTCCAGCGTGGTACAAAACTCCAAACTCTCTTTCCCATCGGCAGTGATTTGGCCCTGTCTTGTTGCCATACAATCTGTGTAGCTACCCATTTTGTTCTTGCCTGGGGATGTTCCTAACCCACTACTCTGCCCCACTATTCACTCCTTTTAAAATTAACCCTTATGACCCCAGCTCTGGGCCAAATGTGTTATGATGTAGTCCACTTTGGTTCACCTTTCCCTTGACATACTTACCAGTTATTTTAGACTGGATTTTCAGTGTACTTTTTGGTCTTACCGTTTAGCCAGGCAGGCAGGTATTCACTCTTCATGCTGTAATGCTGCTGGCCAAGATTTCTCAGAATGACTGGCTCTGTTCCAAGGAAGTTGTTGAGGGTTGCAGAGTACAGCTCCTTATCTGTAAAAATGCAAGGGTTGGTTTATTTATGATTATATGATTACTTTTACACATGGATAATGAAAATACATGGTAAACAACTGTTGGTGCTGGAGATTATAGAAAGTAATCACATTTTGCTTGATTAATGTACAGGCATGGGCATGCATACATTTACTACTGTGTGTGTGTGTATGGGGGTCTACTACCAGCTTGTTTCTATGGAAATGCATTTGTTACACCTGAAATGTTCCACAGTAGGGCATCAAACTTATTTACCATATTTTTCGGATTATAAGTCACGCTTTTTTTCACGGTTTGAGTCGTCCTACAACTTATTCTCCGGTGCGAGTTATATATTCAAATTTTCACACTGACAGCAGCGAGAGGGCGCTCTAGGTTTATGTGTCAGTATCTACTATTCCTATTACTTCTGTACCACTGTCACTTCGCCCTCTACTGCTCATGTCACTAGAGATGGGTTGAGAACACAGCTTCACAGCAATTGGGAGAATGCGCCATGCAACTTTCCTGGTCATTGAATGGATCGACAAAGCCTGGACTTCAGTAACAACCGAAACCATCCTGTCGGGATTCAGAAAGGCCAGAATAATTATAACTGGAACTGGTGCCGAGTCTGATGACAGCTACACAAAAGAGGAACCTCATGGTTTACCTCATGGATCTATGGTTTACCTCCAGAGGTCGCAAAGTTGCTCAGAAATGACACCGAGGATGAAGAATTCAATAGCTTTAGTGATTTGGAGTGAGATGGAGAGTTTGGTAAACTTATTCTGTTCTGTTGTTTATGTTATAGTTATCTGAAGAACTGTTCATATGTGACATTAACAGCCTACTGTTCTCTATTCTATTGTTATTACTACAACTTGCCTTTCAAGATGAAATATCTGTTCCTGGTCTCTGATTTTATAAAAATAAATTTCCCCCCAAAAGTGCGACTTATAAAAAAAAGTAATTATGTCTCCATGATGACAAGCAGGTATCATATAAGAAAAGTTACACAGTGCACCTTTAACATAGAATGAAATATATATATTTTCATGTACTGTATTTATTTTGAACCTTTTACAACCAATTCAATGTTGCTGACAAACCAAAAAATAATGTCTCGCCCAAAAACCATTCACAGTAAATAAATGCCAATTGTGCAAAGGGGAACACACAATGTAAAAATCCACTTGAATAGGATTTGATAGGAGCTGTTGTTCACTTGGAAAAGCTGTTTACTACAGTTTTAAATTGGGCCACTGGACTCTGGCTGCCTCAGTATGGCTATGACAAAACAAATGGGAAATACTGGCAGAGATTTGATGGGCATTTTATACTTGTGTCTGAGTGGTCAAAACAAGCCTGCTGGGGGGGAGCATCAGGCACTGGCCCCGTGTATCTGCAGTTTGATATGAATGTCAATAGACTGCAGACAACTTTCTTCAAAATAGTGTAGCTGGGTCTCTGTAAAGGCGTAAATGTTCTCAACTTTAGACTAGTCTTTAAACTGTATTTTCAAAGCCTTCAAAATCAAATGTAGTTTTTAGTTCAGTATTGTTTATGTATTTTTGATACATATTTCAATTATTTGTCTTAAAGTACAGATTGCAAAATAAAAGTGGCAATGCAGTAAGTAACAATAGTGGTAAAAATATTAAGTACTCGTAGCACAAGTACTCAAAAAGCAATAGTAGCTGTGAGATATTTGTAGTGGAATCAGCTGTAATATTACTTGATACAGCAGTATCCTTAATTTTCATTTTATACTTTGCTCAAGAATTCTTTTGTTTATTGGTACTTCAGTTTGACTATAAATAATATGCCTGAACAGTTATTGAATATCTACTTCTATACTACTGCGCATTAGCAATCACAGTAGTAGTAGTAGTAGTAGTAGTAGTAGTAGTAGTAGTAGTAGTAGTACTAATAGTAGTAGCAGCAGGCCCGTCGACTGAAATTTTGGGGCCGTGCGCAAAAAGACTCACATGGGCCCCCTCTAATATTAATTAATAGGCAGGCTTCTAACTCTGAGCCCCTAAGACCATAGGGCCTGAGACAACAGATCCCTTTGTCGACTCCCCTGAGTAGTAGGAGAAGTAGTAGTACTAGTAGTAGTAGTAGGAGTAGTAGCAATAGACTTCTCAGCTCATACTCACCCACTATGAGGCCAGTGTGTCCTTTAGCAGGGTCATATGGACACTTGCCCTTCCCGTCCTCTAAAGCAGCAGTGTTGAGAGTGAAGTAGTCTGCGTTCTGTCACACACACACATATATAAGATGAGAGGAGAGGCACAGGTGGCTGCTGGTCACTTTTCATTATAGCCCACATAACAGTACTGCACTCAGTCTGTCCAAGTGTGCAGAAGTCTCTCCTCACACATCACCATCATATAGGGGCACATTGTCTGCAAAACCAAGTATAATGCGATGTACAAAAGGAAAGAAAAGGTACATATCTCTTTCTGTATGATTAAAAAGTGCTGCATTTGAATTGTTCTGATAAATTTAAAATAATATATGTTAATATATGTATAATTCTTTACTACTTAGTATTTAGGTTACTATATGTCACAAAAGACATTAGAAAAAATGTGTTTTATTAACCAAACCACTGAATTAGGGAACTGTAATTTGCAATTAGAATTTGTACAAATATTTGTCCAAAATGTTCTTAATTAATTACTGATGACTTAATTATAATTATTACAATAATAACATTTGCTGGCACTAGAAATGTGTTGAAAGTGTCCTAATTAATCTAAGTTGGACTAATGACAAAACAATTGGAACAGTTGTCATCCAAGTTGATTTGAGCTGAACTAACTATACTAACTATATTTTACAGTCTGTCCCAGTTTGAGAAAGTCTTTTCCCTTGCACTAGTTTTGATTTCGTCGCTTGGCGCTGGCCCCGGGCTGAGACAGGTGCGCGTGGGCTTGACACCTGTCAGGTAAGACTCACCACGTAGGTGCACTTGGGCTGGAAGGCGTAGGTGCCGCAGGTGTACAGGTGCGTGTGGTTGTAGCTCTGTAAGAAGCGGATGTAGTTGAAGCACTCGGTCTGAAACAAAGAGGAGAGAAAGATGGTTAGAAAATGTTTATATTAAAATAAAGTTAAAATAAAGAGATACTATAATTGTAATTGGATGCACACAGCACACAGCACTCTCATTTTGACCTGCCAATATATTTGTGAAGATTTTATTCAAGTACATGGAAAAATATCAGGTACCGTCATTTGAATGCAATTATAAACTGTTTATTTTGTATCTGTTTTTGAATCTACTACTTCTACTAACTATAGTAAATGCAGTAACAGTAGTAGTAGTAGGCCTACAGTAGTAATAGTAGTAGTATAGTGAAAATAAATGAGATTCTATAACTGGGTTTACTCTGCAGTGATCGCCAGTTGGACATAAATCCAATCTGTTTATCTTTGTAAAATCTGGTTTCACAATTATGTCATAACAAGTGTTTCCATCTATTTAACTTCGTAATAAAAACAGTCCAACTTTTGGGTTCCAAACCAACAACTGGAGCCCACTGATTTTGGGCAACACTATGCAATCTGACAGAAACACAAAATAAACTATTTATAATTACATTCAAATGGCTGTACCCGATATTTTCTCATGTACTTGAGCAAAATCTTCAGAAATCTATGCTATGCTATGCTATGCTATGCTATATTAGCTTTACTGCTGTAGATGGCATAAAATAAACTAGATCTGTTTTTCCAGATTGTAAGACAGTAAAAATAAGGTAGTGAGTGTGTAAAGAAATACCTGCGTTATTAGGTGCTATTAAGTCCCCCTTCAAAATAAGACATTGTATCTCGAGGAACTTCCCATTAATATGTTCAAAATAAAATGAAGCAGTTTACAGTGAAAAAAAAAAGTATCATACAGACTCCCATTTGAGAATTCTTCTTCCTGTCCTACTATCACTTTGTACAATTACTTTTTCCCCGAAACTGTTTGATTGACACAGCTAGTATTACAGATACAAGTGAATTTTATATTTAGAATGCCTGTTTTGTCCAGTATTTATTATGTGGTCAAGAACTTTCCATCTAGAGCAATTACCTTTTCTTGTCTCTCGGATCATTCCCACAATTTGCTTTGTTTACGAGATCATTTCCTTCGCAAATATTTACTCAAGACCAGCTCTAAACACCAGAGTTAACATGCACAATTATCCCTCCAACCTTTGAATGCGACGAGAACTGGGCAGCTTTTCTTCATCTAAACAACTAAACAATATGCGAGTGATTAGAGCTGTAATATATGCAGTGTTTTATGAGAAATGCCCTTTAATGTTCGGCCTGTGACAAACAATGCAACTCTCCGAATGCAATTGGGAACAGATGCTGGAATAGGAATTAGAGCGATGAATAAATCACTCCATTCCGATGATGTGGCCATTACGTTTGAAAAAAAAAAAAAAGAAACAATATGCATATTTCGCAGCTCGTATTATCCCAATTTGCATTTTTTTACCATTTACTTTTACAGCCTCCGCAATCACCACTGCTAATTACAGTGAGATCTGTCGGGCAGCTTGACATAAACAGCTAATTGCTAATCTAACACTGGACACTGTAAACGCCATATGGGATTTCTGCATTGTAAGATTTTATGTTTTGCCATATGTACTACGCATTAGCTTTGGACCCTGTTAAATTGTAGCTGCTTAAAGAGATAATTGGAAATATTTTGTGCCAGATATTGTATGGTATAGTTACATAATGAATAATTAGAGTGATTGAAAGACTAATTTAACTGTTCATCTGCATCAATGATTGCTCCAGTTACGGCCAATCATTCACAGTTAACAAGGTGAGTGGAATGTGTCTTGCCGAAGGACACAACAGCACACTGGCAAAGACTGGATTCAAATTAGTGTTGTGTTCAAAAATCAGAAAACTAGTATTGAAACTAGATTAAAGCAGGTATCGATACTGAAAAAGTCACATTCACAGGACAGAAACAACCCTTTCCTGTCTTGCCCAAGGACACAAAAGCGCACTAAGCTAAAGCTGGATTCAAATTAGGGTTGGCAAAAGCATTGAAAATCTAGAAAACTAGTATCGAAACTAGATTTGAGCAGGTATCAATACTAAAAAAGTCACATTCACAGGACAAAAACGAACCTTTCCTGTCTTGCTCAAGGACACAAAAGCACAGTAAGCTAAGGCTGGATTCAAATTAGGGTAGTCAAAAGTATCGAAAATCCAAAAACTAGTATTGAACTAGATTTGAGCAGGTATCAATACTGAAAAAGTCACATTTACAGGACAAAAAAGAATTTTCTGTACACCCATGGACTGAGGAAGTAAACAAATATATTTTTTTTATATTACAGCATGGTAATATAAAATAAAGTACTATGATTTAATGTTGAAAATCATATTCTATTGTCTAAAAAAATTGTGCTTTTATGTCATTGTGGTACCAGAATAAGCATTGAGTAAGTCTATTCCTTAGTACTGAAATAAAGTTAGAACTAATTCAAATGGTCATGAAAAGACTGTTGTACCATCTTTGTGTCACCATTTGAGCGTATTTTCAAATAAAGGATAAATTAAAATATATGCATGTTGTATATTAAGTTACTTCATTGTCCCCAAACTGTTTTCACATTCCTGCACTAAAACATATCAAAATAACTGCAATGCAAAAGGGAAAAGTCTCATCTCATCTTCCCCAAAAAGTTGTGTGCCTTCATGAAAAATTAAACAAGATTTTACAAATGAAGAGTACATTATGCAGCAATGGGAGAGAGGAACAGGGACCCGACCACTGAGCCTGTTTTAAACAAATATTTTACGAGGTGCAGAAGAGATGTACATTAGAATATGGAGTTTAAAGCATGTTTGGGGTTTTATAATCAGAGCGGCATAAAGCTAAGAGCACCACTTTAACTTTAATGTAAACTAAAACGCTGCTAAAATATAATGTTATTGCTAAACTCTTCCAGTTGGTTCAGGGATTCTGTTCAAAAAGCACTCGGTAGGTACAATTTAAATGTGCAGAAATGGACAGGGTTATATTAAATAGACTGACATTGCTTTTAGAGAAGTAAATGTATTTGACTTATAACACAGTAATTACAAGAAATAAACATCTTATCCAAAAAAAGTTGTTGTTTTATAATGCTGTTTTTTTTTTTACTATTTCGTGCCAAAAAGGAGGCTCTAAGGACAGGGGGCGCTCCGGGACAGTTATCCTTGTATCCTTGCTTGTTTGTGAATGTAATCTGTGTGTTTGAGACCAATGAATGTTTGACTGTAATCTAACTCGCGCTTGGTTAAATCAGCAATTTAGCTAAACTTGGAAAAAAAAAACAATAATAATAATTTAACTTTTTAAATGAATCATATTTGCAGCTATTAAAAAGAAAAAAACAATGCACCATTAATTTGGGACTGGCACAAAATATGACTCATACTTTTGTCTACATGTTAGAAAGTCGAAGCTCAAAAGCAGAAGTACTCTACTAAGTATACTACCAAATACCACTATAAATAGCAGTATAATATATAAAAGCCCATTAAGCCAACTGAAACTACTTGATGCTATGAAAATGTGGAGAAAAAAGTTTTTGACTCACCTATTGTCTGATTTAACACTGGACACCTATTCCACTAGGTTTTTAAATCCCAAACACCTTCACCAGAATCATTTCATAATTCATAATTGCAGCCATGGCATTTCCTATCTATACTAAACAAAAGATAAAAGGTAGCTGAAGCAAAACTGTATGTTTTTGTGGAGGTAATAACTTTATAACATGGTTTAAAGTTCACTAGAGTCAATTTTGTGTAATATGGAACCTTAAATATTGGATACACTTTCGCTTCCACTGTGGTCATTGCTAATCTTCTTAGACTCCTGATTAAAGTGTGGCATATGGAGACATTGCCATTACAGCATAGAAAATAATAATGGTGCAATTATAACTAACTATTTATATATTATTACAACTAATGTGGCAACTCATTCCAATTGAGTTGAGTTGAGTCATTTTTGAGAAGTTTATTTTGTACCGCACCAATCAATGAACAGTGTCTAAAGGCATTTCAGTATCACTCTCCGCACCACTCATAACGGCATTTACCATTACCTTTTACCGTCCCTCTTCATGTTATTGTTTTGACTTCCTGTTAGCGTCTTGTAAACAGGACGCCGGTCTATTTGTAACGGTGCTGATCAGAAGCTAAAGCTAAAGTTGCTGATGGCTGTGATGTGATGTTGCTATTGCAGAGAGAGGGAGCTGCTAATGTAATGACTGGAAACTCTCCAGGCCTGAAACATGAGCCTGACTTGACAAAATGTAATTGATCAGAGAAGAATATAACAGCGCTAAAGTGGCTAAAGTGCGTTACCTGGTTGTTCTTCCCCTTGGCCACGCACTCCCTCTTCTTATCTTGTGGGGCCGGCCAGTCGATCTGAACAAAAGATAGAACAGTATAGATTAGAACTCCACAAATACAATGATTTATTTTGTTGTTTCTGTTAGCAAAAATGTTATACGTGCGTTTTATTTATATATAGCATTATTATTATTATTTTTTTACTAAACAATACAGAACAAAACAAAGAGTACAATAACTATACATTGTGGTATTGACAAAGGATGTTCAAGTAAGCCAACTACATCAGATAAACTGTTTTGAAGAGTAGCAGCAATAGTAGCCTAAATTATACTTTGCACAGACATAACGCCGGGGGTGTTCTACATGTACCTCTATGGTGAAATGTTCAGAAGTTACCATAGAGACACAATGCATAAATTAGCAAACAATAGGAGTGTAACGATATCCAAATCTCATGATACGATATTGTCATGGTATGAACCTCATGGTACGATATTTATTGCAATATCGTGGGAAAGCTCACGATATGGTGGGGAGGCTCCTGATTTGGGATGTAACAATATGCAAATCTATCGGTATGATATTTTCACGATATACATCTCTCGGTATGATATTTATTGCGATATTTTGTGGAGGTTAACAAAATTGAATACGCTACTTTTTCCATCTTAAAATGTCTTGACAAGACTTAATCCAAAGAACTAAGACTTGAAAATGCTTAGAACTGTTATTTCTTCTTGTAGTCTGCACTGAAACAGAGCAAAGGATCATGGTCTATGTAGTTTCTTCTGTCTTTTTTAGCTACTGCTGCACCATGACACTTAATTTAAGCAAAGAGACTTGTAATTTGATATATTGTGATGGTCCACGATAGCATTGAGAGAACTTTGACAAAGCGATATCATGATATTTTGGTTATTGTTACATCCCTAGCAAACAATGTCAAATAAGATTTAAGATGGTCTGAAAACTTACAAGACATTTCCAGATTTGATTTTCAACAAAAACGTGAAATTGACTGAAAAACTGTAACTAATGTGAATGTAATTTTGTGTGTAGGAGACTTGTTTAACACAACAAATCATCTCAGTTGTTGCAGCTCCAAGTGAGTCAACTCTTTCTGGTCAGATTATGTTAACACAAAACTCAGATTAAGTCTAACAGGTCTCAGACAGAGCAAAGCCTCTAGTTAGTGTCACATCCCTGGGAATGTTGATGACATCAGCTGCAAAGTATCAATAATAGGACTGGTACACATAGTAATAATACAAGTATGAGAAGTTGTACCACATAAAGACAATGCGAAATGTAGTTGCATCTATTGTATGTTACGGTATCTTGTTTTTGAATCTTTCCTAAAGGGTAAGATTTTGTAATATACATGTTTTAGGATGTAATCAAAAAGTCACTTGCTACTATTTGAAGCAGTTACTATAGCAACCAGGCAGGTACTTTGTAAAGTGCTTCAATAAACAAATCAACATAGATTGTAATATAATCCCTTTGCAATATCCGAGTGCCTGATGCAACAAAGAGCTGAGATTGTGAAAGAAACAAAAGACAAATTTTTTTTTAAATAATATACGCTCTAAGGTGTTTCTGAAAACTTGAAGGTAAAAAGTGCACAATACTTGAGATTTGGCTGCACATTTAATAAAAAAAAACTTTAATAATACAAAAATCCATCTCTTATCAAACAATATATGACCCCAAACATTCTTTATGTTTTTTCCCATAATTGAGTAGCTGTACCTCGAGTACCTCTCTCTATCTTCCTCCCCACAGTTCGAATGGGTATCACCAGATGCATCACTTCTAGTATCTAACATTATTAAAACTCATTGTTACTGCGCTCCATAAAAGTCGGAGTAATATAGAGTCTTTATAGGCTGCAGGTCTCCACTGTCCAGCCATAATCCTTTGTTTGATTGCTATTGGTCCGACTCCAATCCAGAGAGGTCCTGGATTTACAGCAGTGCTTGACCTGTAATGACCACTGTTAGTTCAAATGGTGTGGAAACCAATACGACTAAACATACCTCATATTTTATCCTGTCGTCTTTTGTGCGCCGTTCAGTCTCACATGTGTCAGATTTATTAAAGTACTAGTTTTAATAAAAGCAAGAGATAGATAGTTTTCGACTTGGTTTATTGTAGTAGTAGAAGAGCAACATAAGACTCTTAAAATAAAATACTATGCATGCTTGTTCTTGGCCTTTAAACATGCTCTTGAGTACCAGAGCTTACAATAATGGCTATATATACAGGCAATAGACAGAGATGCACTCCCTATACTGTGTACTGGGAGCAGAGGGATTTACTATTGACTTATTGGTCAATATACGTTGGATAAAACAATCATTTTTGGGGGTCAGTGTTTATCGTTGGGATTTTTTCTTTGTACTAGTGGACCATTTTTGGTTATATTTCTGTACTGTGATAGACGTTTTAGCTGTAGAAGGTTGCAGAGGTGGGACCAAGTCGTTGTTTTGCAAGTCTCAAGTAAGTCTTTGACCTCAAGTCCGAGTCAAGTCCCAAGTCAAATACAGGCCAGTCCAAGTCAAGTCTCGAGTCACTGGCCCATAAGTCCAAGTCAAGTCATCTCCTTTGAGCTTCAAGTCATTTGTAGTCTTTAAACCAAAGTACCAAATATAGGTTAGATTTTTGTAATTTATATGAAATCTAAACTAAATTGTACTTGTACTAACTGTCAGGTTAATGAAATGCAAATTTTTCCTGAAATCATTACGGATAGAAAAGGAAAAAATCTGATTTAAAAGTGCTAAATATCAGTTATTTTGTCATGTAATTGGCACTGAAATGGAAGGATCAAGTTCAATGTAGTTCCCTCCATTTTACTGTATTGTACTGTATATTACTGTAGTACATTGGAGGATACCACATCACAGTACTTCTGTTACATCCAAAGTAACAAACAGAAGTGGGAGGGACATGTATCAACTGTACCACATGTATCAACTGTAAAGAGGAAAGTCTTTTCTAGAAACCTATATTGTTTTGAGAGAAGCATCAAGTCTCCTCAAGTCACAGGCCTCAAGTCCGAGTCAAGTCCCGAGTCACTGACCTTCAAGTCCAAGTCGAGTCCCAAGTCTTTGTCCATTTTATCAAGTCAAGTCCCACGTCCTAAAAATAGTGACTCAAGTCTGACTCGAGTCAGAGATTGCGAACTAAACAGGAATTATTAAGCAAGTGTGAATAAAGATAAATACAACTCCGGGCTTGTTTTTGATGAAGCAATTATGTTATTATGCTCTCCTTTCAAAACATAATGATGGCAAAAGTGTATTTATCGTTCATTAGTTTGTTGTTTAAATAGCCAGATATTTCTAAATGGTCCGCTACATATTGTAATGCATGAAGACCTCTCATTTCCACCGTTTTCTGTGTTTTTGTTCATCAGAGGTCAAAGTTCAGTGTTTATGCTGATGCAGCCCAACATCAAACTCCAGCAATTAGACTCTCCAAATGCACAAACCAAGTGTCCATGTAATTACTTCCAGAAATAACTTTAAAAATAAATTTCACAATCGGGGGGCTATATGAGCCGTGCAGACCTTCTTACCCAAACAATAAATAAAAGAAAAGAAAATAATGACATCAAGGTTCCCAGACGTTGTGAGAATACAATTAGCACTAACAACGTGACAAAACCCTGGTTGTCTTTATAGTTACCTGTTTATTTAGAGTTACAAAACAAAAAAGTTACATCTCACCGAGTTAAAAATACTTGAATAAAAAAAATGTTATCTTGATTTGAGTAAATTTCACTTATATACTAAAGAAACAAAACATTTTGCACTGAAAATAAGAAATTAAATGTTGTTGTTGCTTGAATTAAGAACAAAATCTTCTTATATTAGTAAAAAATTTAACATATCAGGTCAAATATGTGCGAATTAAAGAATAGCGTTGATAATTTTTGTAATTTAACTTTTAAAACAGTACAACAATCAATGAATCATAGCAACAACTGCAATGTTACAAAATAACACAAAGCAGCCTAACTAATACTTATTAAAACTGTAGTACACTGCAAAAAAAAAATTATATCTAGGTAAGTTAAAATGACTTAAATAAAGAACATTTTACTTTACTTGAGTAGATTCAACTTGACAAGCAAATTATCTTTTATTTTTCTTATTTTAAGTGTAGCAGGATGTATTTTCATATTTTAAGTACAAAAAATCTTATTCCATTGGCAGATTTTTACTTGTCAAGTGAAACTGAGTCAAATCATGATAGCATTTTCTTCATTCAAGTCATTTTAACTGGACTAGATTTTGTTATTTGCGGTGTATGTCTGAACTGGCTGTACTACCTTTACTACTAGTACTACCTACTATTTCAAGTCTTTTACTGCAGTTAAGGGGAATACAAATACTGGTACAACTTCTACCACTCAATGCTACACTTATTAGTACTACAACCACTGTGATTGACCTCCCATAAGACCACGTTAATCTCCATATTGATTTTTCCTCATGATTTAATTAGCTGTTTTTCAGGCGTTACCATAACAACAAGCACAGGAATCCATTGAATTAAACGCAGAGCGAAGGCCAAGGTCTCTAACAGTTTTTCTCCGTCACATTTATTTAATTGAAAGTCTAGTACTAAAGTTTTTCCAGACTTTTAGACACATTGAATAGAGTAGTGACCTCAAGTGTTCACCTTAAATGAATAGCAAATTTTATATTTTTATGTGTCTATTGTATAGTATTGCTTTTTACAAACTTCATCCGACTTAAAGTACCATTTACATTCAGCAGAGGGCAGGGTTGAGCTCCTTTGTGGTAATATTTTGAATAGAATTTGAGGAACAATAATTTTACATTTTACGACTTGAGATAGAAGACTTGTTGATTGGTCCCTGCTTTCTGAAGTATCGGGAGTAATTAAATAAGATTTTTTATTTGCAAGATGTTTTACTACTCTGCTAATGTCGATAATATTATGATGATACATCTGCTAATATTTCAAGCACAGATGTTGCTGTTCCCAGGCATGAAAGCGATGAAGAATGAGCAAAAGTCGAAGCAAAAGAGAAGTAC